TATAAGTCAAGTGCTGTACCCAACTGAGCCACTCCACCAGATACTTTGTTTTAATTTTTGAGTATACTCTTGTGAATTACCCCAGGAAAGCCTTATACCTGAGTTCCCCCTACCTCTACTTGCTGACTAACCACACCTGGATTTGTTTTTTCCGGTCATGGAGCTTGAACTCTGGGCCTAGGCACTGTCGCTCAACTCTTCAGCTCAAGGCAAGCAGCTCTACCACTTAAGCCACAGTGCCACTTCCAGTTTTCTGGTGTTTTATTGGAGATAAGAGTCTTGCAGGCTTTTTGTGCCCTGGCTGGCTTTGAACCATGATTCTCTGATCTCAGCCTTCTGGGTAGCTAGGATTAAAGGCGTGAGCCCATTTCACATAATTAAAAATGAGACTGCCTAAATATGCATTCTAAAACAATTGATAAAATATAATCCAATGCCATTTGGTTGTGTGCTGATCATCCTAAGCTCAAGCCTGGGCACTAACTATGAGCTTCTTTTGTTTTGGGTAGTTTCTTGGAGATGAGTCTCCAAGCCTTTCCTGCCCCAGCTGACTTCAATCTGCGATGCTAAGGTCTCATCTCAGATTTTTGAGTAGCTAGAATTACACCCTTATGCAACCAGAGCCCAGTTACATTGCCTCTTTAAAATACAGATTAAATTTCTAAAACAATATTTTGAAAAAGAAAATTTTAAAAATTTTAAAGAGGGATGTTCAGTCACTAATATATATGAGAATAGTCCAAATCACAAAGCATAGTCTCACCCTGAAATCTATAAAATTTCTGGTCTTGAGCATTTTGAATATGAATACTTAGCCAACAGTAAATTATTTTTAAGGTTTTTAAAGTAAGAAAACATTCTTGTGATGTAGAAAAAATCAATACTAATTTGTAAACATGGCTTTTAAATGATTCATATTGTCTTTCCTAACATAAACAGCCTAATTGAAGTCTACAGAGTAGATTTTCAGTTTTTGTAACTGTCAATGTAAAGTTCATTTAATTTTATATTGAGTTTCCATTCTACATTATTGTATACAAACAGAATCATGGATAATTGGCTTTCCTGTGTATTAATCCAATGAACAAGTACAAACAAAATTACAAAGCTATTTAATTTATGTGAGTTTTATAGATCTACATTTTGGGATGTCCTCACCTTGGTATTTTGTGTTAATATTGTTGAAGTAACATACAAGGTTTTAATCTTCTGATTCCTTGGTTGAGAGTGGTTGGTTTGGATTGTGTCACTCCTATGAACAGAATTTTAGGTTGTGTCTTTATTAGATCCTGTATATCCAGCAGGATGGTCAGTTTTCTTCATGTGAATATTTAGGAAGGGGGTATTCTAAAACTGGTGTTTACATCATGTTAACTGCTTTCCCTTGGGCCAAATCATGTTAAATGGGAAATTGCAAGTCATTGCCCAAGGTTGCTCTGAGTATTTGAATAAAGGGTATGTGCTATTTGATAACCATTATTGAAACATTATAAGACAAGAAATATATATATTGTATATATGTTTTCTCCAGGAAAGCCTTACACTTGAATTCCCTTACATCTACTTGGTGAATAGCCATACCTGGCTTTTTTTGGCCCGGGGGGGGGGGGGTCATGTGGCTTGGACTCTGGGCCTAGGCACTGTCCGTCAACTCTTCAGTTCAAGGCAAGCAGCTCTACCTCTTGAACCACAGTGCCATTTCTGGTTTTCTGTTAGTTTATTAGAGATAAGAGTCTTAAGGACTTTTCCTGCCCCAGCTGGCTTTGAATAGTCATCCTCTGATCTCAGCCTCCAGAGTAGCTAGGATTACAGGCATGAACCTGGTTCATTTCTTGAGAAAGGTAATTTGGGAAGGGAAGGGATAGTGGGAGAACAACAAAGGAGGGGGGTAACAATTTTTGACAAGAAACGTTCTCATTTCCTTACTCATGTAACCAACTCCTCTATACAGCACCTTTACAATAAAATAAAATTAACAAAAAAGAGGAAGTTTCTTGCTGATAGGCACTGGTGACTCATTCCTGTAATGCTGGCTACTTAGGAGGCTAAGAACTGAGGATCATGGTTCAAATCTTGCCTGAGCAGGAAAGTCCCTGTGACTCTTATCTCCAATAAGAAAACTGAAAGTGGGGTTGTGGCTCAAGTGATAGAGTGCTAGCCTTGAGCTGGAGAGCTGAGGGACAGTGTCCAGGCCCAGAGTTCAAGCCCCACGATGAACCAAAAAAAAAAGGTGTTGTCACCTTTCTTTTGCACCATTAGACTCAAAGCCTGATGCTCATCTTTGCCTCCTGTGTAGCTGAGATTTCAGCCACCATGCCCAAAGCAAAGGAATGAATATTCATGGAAATAGACAACTGCAAACATCCTTAAAGTTGCTGAAGCCTCTTGCATGGGGATCCATGCTCAAGATATCTTTTCTGTTTCCATGTCTCAAATGCTGTAATTTTTGTAATGAATGCTGAGAGTCACTTAGAATCATAAGCTCTGCCCTTAGTTCCTTGTCAAGTATAGGCCTAAGTCAACTCTTTTTCTCACAGGCAACAGATATGTTCCTCGGGCCATCATGGTGGACCTAGAGCCTGGCTCCTTAGACTCAGTAAGATCGGGACCACTTGGCCCAATCTTTCATCCAGACAACTTCATATATGGTATGTCATCATGGTCCATGGGTCCTAACATCCAGGCACTCCAGTGCTGGGCTGAGCCTTTATCCACCTAGATATTGTCCTCAGCTAACCCACCTATTCCAGTCCATGGAAGTCATGCCCCTGGCCACTCAGACAGCTCAGATCAGTGCAACTCTGCAAGTTCTCCATGACAAAGAAGCCTCTGAAGGGAAAGAGCAGCAAGCAGAGAAAGCCACCAACAAGGTTTCAGCACTGCTGGTCATTTTAAAGGCCTGGCAATAATAGAACCACGTCAGGACACCAGAAATCAAAGCACAGCTATGTGTGAGCAAGGAGCAGACAAGTGCTTGCAGTTTAGCTTCCCTCTGACCACACTGTGCTCCTGTCCCTGTTGTGAAAGTAATTACATTTCCAGTATTGAGGCAGGCTCAGTTCTTCATTTCTAGAAGTACTTGATTTGGGTTAAAATGTATTTTCCTCCACACTCTCTACTTTTCTTTAGAACCTGGGTGATTTGTAGGGTCCCAGATACATTGGAAACATTTCCTTTATTTCACCATAGTGTATCTAAAATAATAGCAAAGGTTGGCTCAGAACACTCCTTTGTCTTCACAATAGGACAGGCACAGTCATTATTCTTGGAGTGTGTGTCTCATCATGTCTTTATGTCTGATAGGCCAGAGCGGGGCAGGCAATAACTGGGCAAAAGGCCACTACACGGAAGGAGCCGAGCTGTTAGAATCGGTGCTGGATGTGGTACGACGGGAGTCAGAAAGGTGTGACTGTCTCCAGGGTTTCCAGCTGGCTCACTCCCTGGGAGGTGGCACTGGATCAGGCATGGGCACCCTGATTCTCAACAAGATCCGAGAGGAGTATCCAGACCGCATCATGAACACCTTCAGCATCATGCCCTCCCCCAAGGTTTCAGACACCGTGGTAGAACCTTACAATGCGGTCTTATCTATCCACCAGTTGGTGGAAAATGCAGATGAAACTTTCTGCATCGACAATGAGGCCCTGTATGACATCTGCTTCCACAAACTGAAGCTGCCCACACCCACCTATGGAGACCTGAACCACCTGGTGTCAGCCACCATGAGTGGAGTCACCACCTGCCTGCGCTTTCCCGGCCAGCTGAATGCAGATCTGCGCAAGCTCGCCGTGAATCTGGTCCCCTTTCCTCGCCTACACTTCTTCATGCCTGGCTTTGCACCCTTGACCAGCCGGTTCAGCCAGCAGTACAGTGATCTCTCAGTGCGGGAGCTCACCCAGGAGATGTTTGACGCCAAGAACATGATGGTCGCCTGTGATCCCCGCCATGGTCGTTACCTGACAGCAGCTGCCATCTTCCGAGGCCGCATGTCCATGATGGAGGTGGATAAGCAGATCATCAACATGCAGAACAAGAACAGCAGCTACTTTGCAGACTGGATTCCCGACAATGTGAAGACAGCTGTATGTGACATCCCCCCGCGTGGCCTTAAGATGTCGGCCACCTTCATCGGCAACAACACAGCCATCCAAGAACCCTTCAAGCGCACCGCAGAGCAGTTCAGTGCCATGTTCCGGCGCAAGGCATTCTTGCACTGGTACACGGGAGAAGGCATGGATGAGATGGAGTTCACTCTGGCCGAGAGCAGTATCAACGACCTGGTGTCCGAGTACCAGCAGTGCCAAGATGCCACTGCTTATGAACGGTGTGACATTGAAGAAGACTTGGTGGAGGAAGAAGTTTAAGACTTCCCATTGGTAGCAGTGCAACAGGACTGTAAGAGCCTGCCTACTACTTCTCAAATGAATGGTGCTTTCCTGAGATCCTGTTGTCATGCATTGAGGTTCCTGCTGTGTATCATCATGCACAGCCTTTCCGGTCAGGAACTAAATGATGGTGAATGAAAAAAGGCAGATTTCTTTTAAATAGTATTATTTTAAAGCCCTATTTATATAAATAAAGAAGTATACATTTTGTACTCTTGAGTCCTTATTCTTTAGAATCCCTTTTATTCTTTCAATATATTTGAAATATAAAATTGGCCAGAAGGATTTAATCTTAGCAACATAGGACTGGTGCTCAAGAGGAGTTTCAAATTCATGGTGTTCCTATTATTTTGAACAGGAGGATGACAAGTGCCAATGTTGTTTATTTTCCCTGGCCTAGTTTTAAAGTTAGCAGTCTCTCAATAGCATGCCAGTAGCATAATAGCAGTTTGAAGAGAAAGTAAACCAGATTCAGATGTTAAAAAATTGTCCTAGTACCAAAGTGATGTTTGGAGTACTGAAGGGATTGATGTTCAAGACTTGTCTGGGCACTGAGGTAGCAGGGCCTCTTCCTCCTTTATTCTGACACAGGACTTGCTTTACCTGCCCCCTAGTATGCATTCCTCTTTGGGAATGGGACCACAAAATGCAGGTATGAATACTGGCCATTAAGGATCTACTTCTCCTTCAGACAACCACAGGTTCTGGTCTCATGCCCCATCAGAGGGATTTCATTCACATTCCCCAGAAACAGTAGCAGGAACCCCAATCCCTGTGCTTACGGTTCAGTTGGCAGCGAAGCAGCACTCACAAGATGAGTGCAAGATCCTGGTTGCCAGGGTAGTTTCTCAGTCATCTGGCAGCTCTAAGGACAGAAGTGAGTCTAGCTGTTTGAGAGAGTGAGAAGCTGACCAGTCCCATAGCGTATCAAGATCTGCTTGATTCAGTACTTACAAGTCAAGGAGTGGAAGGGAGACATGGCCCAATGACCTATTCTCATACTCATTTTCCAGCATTCAAAGCTGTCTGAGGCCCACAGAGGGTTGTAAGGGAAAAAGATGCAGCCTGTTGGGTATGTTTACTTTACATGAGTGAGACAGAAATCTCAATTGCTTAGAACCTACACAATGGCCAGGAAGAGGGTGAACACTTCTGTTTTCACCAGAGGCCAAAATCATTCGCTGGTTCTTTTTGCCAGAATCTTTCACTCTTCTTGCAGTGAGGCTCCAGGTAGGTTGTCTGTGTCAGGCATTCCTCCATGGCCACCAATAACTTGTAAGAGCCCCTTTTTCTTCAGAAACAGGACTTATGGGAATCCAGCAACTTTTAGGAAGCTCTAAGGAAAGATACTACTGGGTGAGGTGCAAGTTCCTTGTTTCTAGTAAAGTTGGGAGAGGGCTGGGAAGGTGGCTCAGTGGAAGAGTGCTTACCTTGCATGCATGAGGACCTGGGTTTGATTCCTCAGCACCACATAAGCAGAAAAAGCTGGAAGTGGCACTGAGTGTCAAGTGGTAGAGTGCTAGCCTTGAGCATAAGAGCTGAGGGATAATGCTCACGCCCAGAGTTCAGACCCCACAACAGACAAAATAAATAAATAAATAAAACTCCTTTAACCTTTAACTGTGCCTAGGTGGATTTTCTTGTTCACCAGGTAATTCGCATCAATAAGATAGAGTACTAACTTTGAGCAAAAGGGCTCAGGGACAGTTCGCAGGCCCCGGGTTAAAGCCCCATGGCCAACAACAACAAAAGAATCAGGCTACAAAAGGAAGAGAACAAATGGGCTAAGATTTTAATTCCAGGGGTTCAACTTCCATTTGTATAGTTAAGTTGGTACAGTGGCTTGTTATTCATTACTTTAATGAGGAGGAAAACATTTCCAAATTCCCTTCAGTGGATTCCAAATTAGAGTTGGTAAAAATTTGAAATAAGAAAGTCAATGTGGTGAGCCTGGGAAAGTGGCTCAGTGGTAGAGTGCTTGCCTTGCATGCATGAAGCCCTGGGTTCGATTCTTCAGTACCACTTAACAGAAAAGGCCAGAAGTGGCACTTTGCCCCAAGTGTTAGACCACCAGCCTTGAGCAAAAGAAGCTCAGGAACAGATCTCATGCCCTGAGTTCAAGCCCCAGGACTGGCAAAAACAAAAACCAAAAGCCAAAATCAAAAAGTAAAAAAAGCAACAAAAACAAAACAAAACAAAACAAAAAACTCTGGATTGCTGGTGCAGTTGATTCATACCTATACTTCTAGCTACTAATGACACTGAGATCTGAATGTTCCCATTTGAAGCCAGCCTGGGCAGAAAAGTCTGAGACTCTTATGTCAAATTAATGACAATAATCCAGAAGTGCAGCTGAGGTTCAAATGCCAGAGTTCTAGCCTGTAATACAAGGAGCACAGGGACAGCACCCAAACCAGAGTTCAAGTATCTCTAATTGTTGGAGATTGTGGTTCGGTCTATTGAGCACTAGTCAATGAGTGAAAATGGCAAGTCTTGAGTTCAAGTCCTGGTTTGAGACCAGAAGAAAAAACAGAAAGGAAAATCAAAGAAACAGACATTATAATAATAACTGGGGGGGGGGGGGAGGTGGTGGTCACAGAGCATAAGCAGGCCCTGCCTCCATTTCTCCTGGATTTTGTTTTTGTTTCCTTTTGCAGTCCTAGGACTTGAACTCAGAACTTGCTGCATACCATGCATGTGCTCTACTGCAGAAGTACATGCTCCGCCCCTAAAGGCTTATTTTTGAATGACTAATGTCTATCCACAGAAGAGGTTATGTTTTGAGTCCTTTCCAAGTTTCTGAACCACCTTAGCACCTGAGCCACTTTAGTTCCTAGAGTAGGCTACTTGATTGCCAAGTTGGAAACATATTTAAGAGAATATATTTGTGCTACACATTGAAAAAATGTAACTCCTCCAAAGAACAGAGTACATGTATACACTAATCTGTATCCTTTTTGCTACACATTGAAAAAATGTAACCCCTCCAAAGAATAGAGTACATGTGTACACAAATCTGCATCTTGGCTAACCTAGTATTTCATTTTGCCTTATTTGATCATAACTCAACTTCTGGTATCCAATCTAGTGATTTACTATAGGTGGCAAATGAATACAATGAAGAAAACATACAACTTAATCTATAGTTAGTATCTGGCTTTGAGTCTAAGAATCAAAAACAACAGAACATAAACTGTAATTGTCAGTTATTTGAGCAGACACAGGGATTGTGAACCTTTAAGTGTAAATAACTGACTTTCTTAATGCCTTATTTTTTAACCTGTTTTGGGGTAGGTTTATAAACAACTTAATAAATCAGTATTTGGAGCCAAGTGCTAGTTGCACACACCTATAATCCTAACTACTTATAAAATTGAGACATGGAGAATCTTAGTTTGAAGCCAGCCTGGACAGAAAAATCTGAGAGTCCCTGCTTCCAAGTAGACATCAAAATGTTGGACTGAGCCTGGCACCGGTGGCTCACGCCTGTAATCCTAGCCATTCAGGAGGCTGAGATCTGAGGATCACGGTTCAAAGCCAGCGTGGAGAAGAAAAGTCCGTGAGACTCTTATCTCCACTAAACCACTAGAAAACCAGTAGATCTATGGCTCAAGCGGTAGAGCACTGGCCTTGAGCTGAAGAGCTGAGGGACAGTGCCCAAGCCCAGAATTCAAAACCCATGACCAACAACAACAACAGAAAATGTTGGACTGAAAGCATGGCTGAGGTAGAAGAGTACCAACTACAAGCAAAAATCCAAATGAGAACACAAGGCCTCTGAATTCAAGCCCTAGTACTGGCACCAAAGTAAATAAGTTTTTAGGAGTATTTGTCCTGTTTTGCTTCCATTTGTTTTGTAGTGCTAGGGATCAAACCCAGGGAGCTGAGTGCTACACAAGCCTTCTATCCCTGGTAGTGTTTTTTTTGAAGGAAGTGATTTCTTCCATTTAAATGGTAGATGTAATTTTTGAGCTTACATCTACATTCCATATGTTGCTCGTTTGACAGCACATTTTATTCAACTGTTTTTAATAAGACTAACACACTGTTACAATTCAAGAATCTTTCCCATTAGAACTCATAATGCATTAAATAACTTATTTAACTCTATTCTTGTCATGCTTTATTGCCATAATTTAAAATTATTGTGACACTAGTGAAGATGATATTGGTCCCTTTGGACCAATTAAAATTTGAAAAGCTTCTTTCATTCCGATAAGCAATAAATCTAATGAATAATACTTAATATGCAACCTCAGCATTTTAATCTTATTCTCTTCTAGGTAACAACATCCATTTTATACATCGTGATAAGAATAGGTTGGATCACAAACCTATAAACTCTGTTTTACAGCTTGTAGGGGTTCAGCAGGTGAACTTCACAAGCAGACCTTCAGTCATCAACGTGTAATTCATATGGAAATCTGCAGCTTACAAATGGGCACTTAAAATGTGATCTTAACATCCTCATGCAGTGTCTACCATGCTGGTTCTCTAGCCATTGAATGGTTAGGAAAATATCTCAAGATCAGTACCAAGTGAACTGCATGCAGACAATATCAGTTGTTAATAAATTTTCAATTTTATAGCTTCCACAGTTTTATGCAAAGTGAATATAAATGCACAAAAGACAATGTCAAAATTATAGAATGTAGTTGGGCGTTGGTGGCTCATGCCTGTAATCCCAGCTACTTCAGGAGACTGAAGTCTTTGGATAGTGGTTCAAAACCAGCCTGGGCAGGAAAGTCTGTGAGACCCTTGTCTCCAATAAACTACTAGAAAACCGGAAGTGGGGCTTTGGCTCAAGTGGTAGAGCACTCGCCTTGAGCTGAAGAGCGCAGGGACAGCGCCCAGGCCCAGAGTTCAAGCCCCATGACCAATTAAAAAAAATTATAGAATGTATAAACACTATTGCTATAATTATAGCATATTCATTTAATAAAATGTTTTCAGCAATTAAAATATATAAGGGCTAGAAAAAATATATTTTTTATTCAGTGCAAAAAGCCATTAACAAGCCAGGCGCTGGTGGCTCACCAGCTACTCAGGAGGCTGAGATCTGAGGATCGCGGTTCAAAGCCAGCCCGGGCAAGAGAGACTGTGAAACTCCTATCTCCAATAAACCACCAGAAAACCAGAAGTGGCGCTGCAGCTCCAGTGGTAGAGCGCTCGCCTTGAGCTGAAGAGCTGAGGGACAGCGCCCAGGCCCAGAGTTCAGGCCCCACGACCAGACCCTCCCCCTCCCCAAACAACAAAAAAATGGAAAGAAAAAGTGCTTAACTTGGTATAAGATTTTTTTTCTTCTGATATGATTAATAATAAAGTTTTAAATTTGTAGTGGTTCAGTTCATGGGTAGGTGTGGTTTGTTTATTTATTTATGTATTGGTTTTAACGTTCTTTTTTTTTCCTTTTCTTATTTTTTTTATTTTTATTTTTAATTTTCTTGAGAGAAGGTCTAGCTATGTACTTTAGGCTGGCCTGGAGCTAGACTCTCCTTGCCTTCACCTCCTGAGTTCTGGAACTACAGATGTGTGTCACCATGCCTGGCTAGAAATTTTGTTTAGTTCAGCAGAAGATAAAATTTTGATTAAATTTTTTACAAAGAAAAGCTTTATAATTATCCAAGAACTGCATTATATGTGAATGACTCTGCTGGTAGTAGGATTTATTCTTCAGAAGAGCTATAATTTATTTTTTTAACTTTTATTTCTTTTTGTCGGTTGTGGGCTCGAACTCTGGGCCTGGGCACCATCTCTCAGCTCTTCAGCTCAAGGTGAGCACTCTACCACTTGAGCCACAGTGCCATTTCTGGTTTTTTTTGGTGGTATATTGGAGATAAGAGTCTCATGGACTTTCCTACCCAGGCTGGCTTTGAACCATGATCCTCAGATATCAGCCTTCTGAGTAGCTAGGATTATAGGCATGAGCCACTGGTGCCCAGCAATTTATTGTTTAAAAGATTGTACTGGGGCTTGTACTCAGGGCCTGAGTGCTGTTCATTAGCTTTTCTATTCAAGTCTGGTGCTCTTCCACTTACCACAGCTCCACTTTCAGGGTTTTTTTGGTGGTTAATTGGAGATAAGCGTCTCACCAACTTTTCTGTCTAGTCTGGTTTCAAACTGCAATCCTCAGAGCTCAGCCTCCTGAGTAGCAAGGATTACAGGTGTGAGCCACTAGTGCCCAGATAGTTCTTGGTTTTTATTTTTGCTTTAATGCCTCAGGATTGAAGCAAACACAGAATAAACACTCCTAGTTTTTTCTATCTTGATCTCTTTTCTACACTGACCTCAGGCACTATTCTCTCAGGACATAGTTGTTTCCTTTCAAGGCCAGAGGAGAAAACTTGGTGAATTAAAAAAAAAAAATCTGTTCTTTAGTGATAAACCCAGTGGTTATAGATGCTGGTTATAGACGCAGGTGTTTAGAATCATGTGATTGCATAGCTTCAAGAATAATTTGCTCTCCGTTTCAGGGTGTGAATAACTTTGTACAGTACAAATTCTGCCACCTGCCCTCCAAAGAAAGGCAAACAATCAATGAGTTGGCAAAGATGTTCCTAAACCGCATCAACTATTGGCATCTGGAGGCGCCGTCTCAGCGCCAACTGCGCTCTCCCAATAATGACATTTCTGGATACAAAGAAAACTACACAAGGTAAGCTGGTGATGAACCCTTCGCCCGCAGCGGCCGCACAGAGCATGCAATAGACAGGAAATTACTGTGTTCCTCTGTGAGTGGAAGGTTGTCCAGTTATGATGGTGATTCCAGCCATTTGGACAGATGTTTGTATAATGAAGCTTTCCATTCCTGTCACAGTGTTCTAAGGGTCACGAATGGAGATCCTCCATCCAGACCTATGCCATCCAATATGATTGTTTCCTCAGGTGGCACTTGTAAACACTAGAGTGACCGCTTGAGAAGGGGCTAGAGTGACTTGAGATTTCATCTTTAAAAATTCCGTATGTGTATATAAAGTACTTTATTCATGTTCATTCCTAACACTTTCTTCTTCTTCTTCCTCCTCCTCCCCTTCCTCCTCCTCCTCTCTTCCACTTCCTTCTACTCCTCCTCCTTCTCTTCCTTCTCTTCCTCTTTGTCCTCCTCCTTGTCTTCCTCCATTTCTTCCTCTTCTGTGAGGAATCTTGAGATGTGCTCAGGTTGGTGTCTCAAAGATATGATCTTCCTACTTTAACCTCCTAGATGCTAAGACTGCAAGTGAGTGCTACATGCCCAGCTTGAATTGAAAGAGTACACATGTGTGAATGTCACACGACACACATACAGTAACTTTTATATTTTTTTATTGTCATAAAGGTGATGTACAGAGGGGTTACACTTACATAAGTCAGGTAATGAGTACATTTCTTTTTTTTTTAACAAAACAAACTTGTTTATTGCTTAGGAAATCCAATAATGCATTCCATATTTAAGAGAGCATTCAGTGTCAATAGTGTAGTTGGCATACTAATCAAATACTTTACGACCAAGTAGTTACATGACACTTGACATTTGAAAAGGATTTTATAATAGTAATGCACTTGCGAAGCTCCAAGAGCTAAGTAATCTGTATTCTTATTTTTTTTCCAAATTCTTTATTGTGATTAAGTGATTACATAACTTCCCAAATTTCACAGTATTGTGGGATAGTGATGCTTAGTTAAAGTCACAAACACATTCTAACTTTCATGGGGCAAATTGTCTATCGTGGTCTGTAACATTTGTGAGTTCTATGAGCTTTGCGATACAGTTATTTCTTCCACATTGGGTGATATGTACATTTCTGTTGTTTTGCATAGCGTCAGCTGTTCCCTCTTTCCCACTGGTTCCCTCCCTCCCATCGCTGCCATTGAGTTGCTTAGTTCGTTTTGATCAATGTCCAGTGCAGCTGATGGGTCCTGCTGTTGTATGTTTTTCCCTGATTCCCTCTAGTTCTGTGTCCTCCTCCTGGTTTCCCTCCGGTGTGCACATATATATCATATATGTGATCAGCAGCATGAGGTTATTTAGTAGTGATTCGACCAGATGAGTGGAAGTCCTTTGTTTCTTCAGCCTTGTTAATTTTGACGTATCACCTTACGTTTTGGATTTAACATCCACTTATCAGGGAGACTATTGCAGTTTGTCTCTGTCTCTTTGCTCTTGGCTTACCACGCTCAACATGATTTCTTCTAGCTCCATCCATTTCCCTGCAAATGCCATTATTTTGTCCTTTCTAATGGCTGCATAATATTCCATTGTGTATAGATACCAGTTTTTGGATCCATTCATCTGTGGTGGGACATCTGGGTTGTTTCCATATCCTGGCTATTGTGAACAGTGCTGCAATAAACATGGAGGTGCATGTGTCCTTGTATCCTGGTTCCTGTTGTTCAGGATAGATGCCTAGAAGTGGTATGACTGGGTCATAAGGGAGGTCAATCTTTACCTTTCTGAGGACCCTCCAGACTGCTTTCCAAAGTGGTTGTATAAGTGTACATTCCCACCAGCAGTGTAATAGGGTTCCTCTTTCTCTGCATGCCCTCCAGCATTTGTCCTTGGCTGACTTGAGGATGTGGGCCATTCTGACTGGGATAAGGTGGTATGTTAAGGTTGTCTTTATTTGCATTTCCTTTACAACCAGGGATGGTGAACATTTCCTCATGTGTTGCTTTGCCAAGTACATTTCTTTTTGAACAGTGTCATCCCCAGACAGTAACTTTTAAATGGTTGGAGACATGGTCCAAGTGGAACAAGTGCAAAACCCTGAGTTCAAATTGCAGTGCTGAGTGAGCCTATTAAAAAAAGGCCTTTGAAAGCTTTGTTTCCATATGCATGCATTTCTATTTGTAGTGGTAGAGACCGAGCAGGGCTTTGCACATGCAGGCTAAGCACTCTACCCCAGTTACATTTCCAGTCCCAGTAGTTATTATTTCTTAATATTGATCACATGCAGAAACAACAGTATTTGTGATATATTGCAGATACCAAGTAGCTGGGGTTATAGGTGAGGCCAGTGACACCTAGCCACAATAACTCTCATGAGAGATAGCAGATCTCTCAAAAATATGTCTTTTAACCCTATAGATGAACAATTGACAAGGTTGAATCTTGTCAAAGCCAAACCTCCAAATGCCTTTGCAACTGATAACCCAGAAAATGATTGCTGCATTGAGAAAACAGCATAAATGTGGAGCAGCAGACACACGCCTTCATTCTAGAAATCAAGATGAAGTCTTGAGCTAGTGGATCATACCTGTAATCCTAGCCACTTTACAGAACTGAGAGTTAGAGGATCGAGGTTCAGAGTCAGTCTGGGCAGAAAAGTCTGTGAGACTTTACCTTTAAAATAACCAGCAAAAAGCCAGGCTGGAGGTATAACTCAAGTGGTACAGTCTAAGCAAGCAATTCCAACAAGCACGATGCCCCAAATTCAAACCCCAGTACCTTAAAAACAACAACAGCACAACAAACAACAACAACCACCAAAAACCAAGCCAGGTACAGTATTCAGGAGGCTGAGATCTGACGATGGCAGTTTGAAGCCAGCCTGGGCAGAAAAGTCCTGGTGAGACTCTTATCTCCAATTAACCACTCAACAATCAGAAGTAGAGCTGTGGCTCAAAGTGGTAAAGCGCTAGCCTTGAGTAAAAGAGCTCAAGGACAGTGCCCAGGCACTGTCAAGTTCAAGCCCCAGAACTGACAGACAGGAAAAAAAAATTAAAATCAGGATAAAAATATAGGGCAGTATTTGGAAATTAGTCAGGAACTAAGTTGTACTTACAAATACTTATGGAATAACAAACGAGGCTGTGAATCACTAGGTTTGTTTTGTGGCTGCGTGTCTTCCTAGCTGAGTGAACTTTTGAGAGACCTTATCTCCTCATTTCTTTGACCTCCCATTTTTTCGGTCAAGACTTTTGAGCATTGGGTTCCACAGACATGTGGGAGCAGGGACCCAACAGCTTCAGGAAGATACTACTCATTATTTTCTCCCACAGCCTTGTTCTCTAAGTCAGTTCTTCCTGAGATCAGGCTGGTAAGCTACAGCCTTAAGTGGACAGTGAATTGGGAGTATAATTATTTGAATATCACATGTCAGAAGCTAAGATAATAGGGAATGGAAAGATGAAAGAAGAATATTTTACAGCTCAGAATCTGGAGGCAACTCTGAAGATGGAACCGTGGCCAGCCCATGGTGAAGAGATAAGAGGAGCCGGGCGCTGGTGGCTCACGCCTGTAATCCTAGCTACTCAGGAGGCTGAAATCTGAGGATCCCGGTTCAAAGCCAGCCCGGGCAGGAGAGACCGTGAGACTCCTATCTCTAATAAACCACCAGAAAACCGGAAGTGGCGCTGTAGCTCAAGTGGTAGAGTGCTCGCCTTGAGCTGAAGAGCTGAGGGACAGCGCCCAGGCCCAGAGTTCAAGCCCCACGGCCGACCAAAAGAAAAAGAAAAAGAGATAAGAGGAACGGAAATGAATATGTCCTGATGACTTCTGACACCTGCTGATTTCTAGTGGTACAGAATCCAGAGTCCCTATTAGTAATAAGTGAGAAAATGAAGGTAGATGATAGCCACATCTGAAGGATCAAACTCTACAAGTTAGGAGGGTCAGGCTTCCTTGCAGAATGAAGACTTACTGCCAGGACTCCATGTGCAAATGGCTATAATCCACACAGCACCCCAGCATGGTGTCTCCCTGATACTAGGGGTCAACACTGGTTAATGTTATTTAAGCTGCAGGCCCCTGGAGGTTTTGTCTTCATGGGTAAGAGAAGCTCAGCATCTCCTGTTGACTCAGATCATCATTTACACCCTGGTGGCAGTTAGAACAAAGGAACCTAAGACTTCTCATGCTCAACATTAGCATGATAATAGGGTGAAACTGGATTCTTTGTGGGAAAGGCTGATTTTATTACCTAGCCAACTAGTGAAACTTCATCTTAAAAAGGATCAGCTAGGTGCCTGTGACTCATTGTTATAATACTCCAAGCTACTCAGGAGGCTGAGAAGGGAGGATCCCAGTTCAAAGCCAGCCCAGATAGGAAATCCCATGAGATTCTTTTTTTTTTTTTTTTCTTTTTTGCCGGTTGTGGACCTGAACTCTGGGCCTAGGTGCTGTCCCTCAGCCCTTCAGCTCAAGGCTGGTGCTCTACTGCTCAAGCCACAGCGCCACTTCCAGCTTTTTCTGTTTATGTGGTGCTGAGGAATCGAACCCAAGGCCTCATGCATGCAAGGCAAGCACTCTACCAGCCCCATATACTCATGCCCTTCTTTGTGACAAGACATGCAATCACCATGTCAGTTTATTAAAAACAATATCACCCAATTATGGGTATCGACTCAGTCTCCTTATCTTATCTACTATGTACTTGACAGATTATAAAAAAAGGTTAATCCTAGAAATAAAAACAAGGCTGAAAAGCCTAAGTTGATGTCTGTAAAATGACTCAGAGGAAATGAGTGGGAACTGGTTATTTGAACAATTTCACTGGATAATATCAATCTGTGCTGTTTTCCTTCACACTGTGAAGAATGAATGGCCTCTTACGTACTTTTGGATAAAGTGAATGAGTTTCATGATAATATTTATGATCTATAATTTCTGTAGCAGAAATACCATTAGTCTCAGGGTCTCTGGTATCTGTGGACCTGTCAGCAGAGGGAAAATGTTCTTTAGGTTCTAATTCAGCATATAGATGTAGGTGTGAGTCATAAATAAGAGTCTTGTAGACATTTCTGCTTGGCCTGGCTTTGAAGCACTATCCTCAGATCTCAGCCTCCTGAGTAGCTAGGTAGTTACCTGGCTTGAAAATGGTTACTTTCTGAATTACAGAATATAGTATAGTAATTCTATTTCTAGGGTTTTTTTTTTTTTTTTTTGCTATGAAGATACTTGTTTCTGAGTTGACTGGATACAACACAACACTTAGGATTCTCACTTCAGTATTATAAATATAAAACATTTAGATGTTAGAAAATAGAGATGAGGTGAGAGAAGAAATAGAAGTGGTTAGCAGGGTTTTAAGATTGTGAATTTAGGCAGAGGCAATAACGCTAACCACCACAGGGGTAATGTACAGAATAAGATTTAAAAAAACCTCAAAACCCAAAACAAGGCCAGTGAATATTGCTTCATTCTTTACTCAGGGTTAAAGTTCATCAAGCGCTTCCTGTAATAGCTTGGGCTCAGTTGCTTTCCCTCTTAAATGAGGAGAGGTGGTAGTTTTTGGAAAGGATCCAATGAGTAGAAGAAGGTGATTTGTGTCTGACTGGTCTCAGGGAGTAAGGATCTATATAATACCCCTTCCTGACAGGATTCCCCTGGTTTGGGGCCACCATCTATGACTCGTACTGTTGTATATTATCGCATGTTGCTCTGTCCTGAACTCTTACAGAACTTGAATCTCTAGGAGATGCCTCTCCACAAAGAAGGTGGTCATATCTGAAGGGGCTTTCTAAGTTGAACGGCTTCTGTGGCCCACATACTCCCTGTGCTAAGATCTAAGAACCCCTTAAGGAGCCCCCCTGTGTTCTGGACATTGCTCCAGCCCTGTGAAAATGCGGAAGTGCATTTTTGACATTGAGTCTGAGTCAATGCAAAGCATACTTGGACCATAGCAGTGGGAACTTATTCCTTCCTGCATTTATACTGAGTTTCTGACCATAGTGATATATGAATGCTGAGCAGGCATCTTAAAGAAACTTTACATTTTACTTGGGACTAGGTAGCAGGATTCTGCTTCTCTCCTCAAAGGAGCTTCCTCAGCTTTCTGGTTTTTTTTAAAACATAATCATATCATGCAGGTGATTTAGCAATCCACAAACCCAGTGACATGCTATCATTGTGCCTGTTATCTAGGTAAGGAAGTAGAGACTGAAGAACATAAAAATTTCCAAAGCAAGGTAGTCAGTTAAGTTGCAAAGTGGTAATTGGATCCAAGGACTTGCGGCCTGGTAGAGTCCGATGTTCCCAATAGACTCAGCTCTAAGTACTAGTGTGTGTGTTGGGGGGGAGGGGGAGGGGTTGAATCTAAGCCCAAGTTTCACTAGCTAGTGACTAGTATCTTGGATCAGCACTGAAGACATGGTTTTGTCTGCTGTGGTTAGCCATGTTTAGAGTCCGGTATTTGTCTTGACGGTACTTGTCTCTTCTTGTTGCAGATGGCTGTGTTACTGCAATGTGCCGCAGTTCTGTGACAGTCTACCTCGGTACGAGACCACCAAGGTGTTCGGGAGAACGTTGCTTCGCTCAGTTTTCACCATTATGAGGCGACAACTCCTGGAACAAGCAAGACAGGAAAAGGACAAACTGCCTCTGGAGAAATGAGCCCTAATCCTCACACATTTCCCAAAGTAAGGGGAGAACTCTCCACGTGGTTGGGTTGATTCCATTTAGCAACTTGAGGTTGCCAAATACATATACCAAAGATTGCATAAATAATAAAATCAAGAATGACAGAAAAGCATCCAAAGAGGAGAGAGATAAAGGACCCTAGGACCCTGACTCCCTTTGTGAATCGTCAATGAATCTTTTCTTAGCATCTCCCATCTTCCCCCTCCCCCACATGGACCATTTTCTATAGTGAGCTTCCATTTTGTTTTAGGTGTGTCCCTAAACTCAGAGCCTGGGCGCTGTCCCTTAGCTTTTTTTTCCTTTTTTTTTTTTTTTCTCAAGGCTGGTACTCTACCACTCGAGTCACAGCTCCACTGCCAGAAAACCAATATGGGAAATTGGTGACCTGAATGTTTTAGTGTTTTCTGAAGCACTTAGGCCAAAGTTTGAAAGTCTCCCTAAGTCATAGTATGATTTCTGGGCATGCGAATATATTCAGTGGCTGTCTTTCAGATATATTCCTTTCCAAAATATTAAAGCCATTTTACTTATTTCACCATTACAGTTGCTACATAAGTGGCATTTATATTTTTATGTGATAGTTGTCATTGTGTTAATGGTCAAAGGACAAAGAAGGACCCTCCCACCCCAACATTAGGGTAGTAAAAGAGAAATCTTAATTACTTTGCATAGTAAGTTTTTTTTCCCCCATAGCAAATGCATCTTGCAGATATTTGCTAATTATAGTGTGTTTTGTTCCTTCAACCCATAGTTTTGGCATGCTTATGCTATTGAATTTTCTTTTGCTACTAATGGTAGGGTAAAAACTACCACCTACTTCTCCTCTTAAATCCTTTTTCATCAAATATGACAACATCTGAGACCATTGTGGATCTATACCAACAGCTCTGGCAGTAGAATCACACTTACTGTGGTCTGACGGTGCTTATTTGAGTCTTGATCTCTGTTTCTGGGTGAGAGCTAGGACCCACATCCCAGCACCCAGTGACCCAGTGGGGCCTCTGATTCTCTGATGCATGTTCAAAGTTCAGACCCCCATCTTTTCTATCCTTGTATGCTTTCTCTTCTTTAACTAGTGCCTTCCTCCCCCTAATCTACAAATTATTTACAATTTTCTAATGGCTGATTTCTGTATTTCATTTTTTTTTAGTTGTTTGTCTCTTTCTTCCTTCCTTCCTTCCTTCCTTTCTTCCTTCCTTCCTTCCTTCCTTCCTCCCTTCCTTCCTTCTTTCCTTCCTTCCTTCCTTCCTTTCTTTCTCTCCTTCCTTCCTTCCTTCCTTCCTTTCTTTCTTTCCTTCTTTCCTTCTTTCTTGTCAGTTGTGGGGCTTGAACACAAGGCCTGGGCACTGTCCCTGAGCCTTTTTGCTCAACACTAGCTCTCTACCTCTTGAGCCACAGGTCCACTTTCATGTTTTCTGGTGGTTAATTGGAGATAAGAGTCTCACGGACTTTTCCTCTGCAGGCTGGCTTTGAATCATGTTCCTCAGATCTAAGTCTCCTGAGTAACTAGGATTATAAGTGTGAGCCATCAGTGTCCAGCCTGTTTGGTTTGTCTGAACAAAACAGCCTGGCCGCTGTCCCTCAGCTCTTCAGCTCAAGGCTAGTGCTCTACCACTTGAGCCACAGCACCATTCTGCTTATGTGGTGCTGAGGAATCGAACCCAGGGCCTCATGCATGCAAGGCAAGCACTCTTCCACTGAGCCACCTTCCCAGCCCCTGTTTTATCTTTTTGAGATGGGTCTTGTTCCATAGCCCAGCCTCCTGAGTGTGGGGTATGAGTTAATAGGCCCCACAGTGTCATTCTAAAAGAAGTAAATGTACAGCTTGAAAAATGTACGCTGAAATACTTTTAGATATTTCTATTTTTCATTTATGTATTAGAGAAAAAAACTCAGTAAGCCTAGGTGAGACTTGAATATCTGCCTGTCCACCTACCTTCCCTCCCTCCCTCCTGTCCTTCCTTTCTTCCTTCCCTCTCTCCTGCCAGCACTGGGGCTTGATTCAGGCCCACACACTTTGGCTTGGCTTTTTCAGTCACAGATGATGTTCTAGCACTTTAGCCATGTCTCCAGTTCAGTTTTGCTGATTAATTGGTCCTGGCTAGTGTTGTACCACTTCAACCACACCTCCAATCCAACTTTTTTAAAATTATTTTTTAAAATTTTATTGTAAAGATGATGTGCAGAGGGGTTACAGTTATGTGTCAGGCAATGAGTACACTTCTTTTTGAACAGTGTTTTATTAGTGTACACAGTGAGGGGTTGAACTGAAAGTCTGCCTCATGGCCATCTGGAATTACAGGTGTGAGCCACCACACCTGGATCATTCTTCTTTAGGATTGAATACTACTCCATTGTATGTGTCTACTGAATGTTCTTTATCCCTTATCTTTATCTCCCAGTATCTTTTTCCTTTATCCTTATTTCCTATTTGTTATTTCTTTTTTTTTTTTGGGTCCGGTCGTGGGGCCTGAACTCTGGGCCTGAGCGCTGTCCCTCAGCTCTTCAGCTCAAGGCTAACGCTCTACCACTTGAGCCACAGCGCCACTTCCGGCTTTTTTCTTTTTGCTTATGTGGTGCTGAGGAATCGAACCCAGGGCCTCAGGCATGCAAGGCAAGCGCTCTACCACTGAGCCAACTTCCCAGCCCCCATTTGTTATTTCTTCATCTTTTGATGGGCACCTAGGTTGATTCTATAGTTTATCTATCCAATCCAACCTTTTGCCAGTTAATTGGTCATAGCTGATGCTCTTCTATTCGATCCATACTTCCAGTCCTGATTTTTGTTCTCTTATTAGTGATAGAGTTTTATTTTTCTAGATAGCTTTCACACTTGGATCCTCAGATCTTGACCTCTTCAGTAGCTACGATAACAGATGTGAACCACCAGTACTTGGTTGAGTGTCTGTTTCTACCAACATTTCCAGGTGTTACTTATGGGTCCCAAAACTTTGCTTTATAACATGGTGAGAAGATAAAATAATAATGAATTGCTGGTCACAATTCTGTCCTCACTGTTGTATTTGTCAATTTTTTTTGTGTGTGTGTGCACCAGTACTGGGACTGGTGTGTATGCAGTAGTACTCTGGGACCTGGAAGCTTCTATTTGCCTTTTCATTCGAGGCTGGGACTCTACCACATGAGCTACACCTCCACTTTTGGCTTTTTTTGGTGGTTAATTGGAGAGGAGAGTTTTCTAGACTTTACTTCCCCAGCTGGCTCTGAGCCAAGATCCACTGATCTCAGCCTCCTGAGTACCCAATATTATAGTCATGAGCAACCAGCACCTGGCTTCAGGGTGGGAATTTGACAGTTATTTAACCTCTCTGTACTTGGTCCTTTTCATCTGCAAAATGCATGTAGTAATGATTCTGTTTCAACTGTCCTTATAACAATCTGCTAAATTAATGCACATCAACCCCTTCCAACACTACTTATTGTGTTGCAGTGTATGTGTGATAAGTCAAAATAAATGTATGGGAAGGTGTTTCTGTCTTAGAAGAGATCAGAACTGCCCAATGATGTCATCATTTTAGTTCACACTCTCTAGGATATTTCTGAATTGAAAACCAGACCCCAATGTTAGGGGGATTGTCAAATGTCTCTAGGGCTTTTGCCTCTCTAGTAATACATTAAGGTTTTTTTTTTTAATCTTGATTTTATTTTTGTGTCTAGGTTTCTGTCCATGTTGGAAGAAGAAGTTTATAGTCAAAACTCTCCCATTTGGGATCAGGATTTTCTCTCAGTCTCTTCTAGAACCAGTCAGCTAGGAATCCAAACAGGTGAGTTCCCTTCCTTCCTTCCTTCCTTCCTTCCTTCCTTCCTTCCTTCCTTCCTTCCTTCCTTCCTTCCTTCCTTCCTTCCCTCCCTCCCTCCCTCCCTCCTTCCTTCCCTCCTTCCTTCTTTCCTTCCTTCCTTCCTTCCTTCCTTCCTTCCTTCCTTCCTTCCTTCCTTCCTTCCTTCCTTCCTTCCTTCCTTCCTGTTTCCTTTTCCTTTTTCTTTGTGCCAGTACTGGAGTTCAGAAGCTGGGTACTATCCTTTAGCATTCTTGCTCAAACACCTGAGCCATCCTCTACTTTTGGCTTTTTTGGTGATTAATTGGAGATAAGAATCTCTGCCTTGATTGGCTTGAACTGTGATCCTCAGATCTCAGCCTCCTGAGTAGCTAGGACTCCAGGCATGAGCCACTGGTACGTGGCTATAGGCAAATTTCTTTTCACAGATCTCAGAGAGCAGCTAAGAAGGTCAACCTGAAGTGTTAGTTGTAGCTCTCATTGCATTTATTTGTGGTTTTTCATTAGGAAAAGAAACAAAAACGCAAAGGCAAATATTTTCACAAATCTTCCTTTGCATTACTGTTAATGAGGAGAAAGTGAGTATAAACCAAAATCTTGCAGTTATGTCTTTGTGGATGCGAAGTGCAGGAATGAACTAAATAGTTAAAATAGTAGTATGTGCAGGAAGGCATGGCTTGCTCATTACAGTTTAATGGGAAGTATAAAATGCCAGGCAGCTCAGCCTTGTAGCCAAACACTGGCTCTTTCTGAAGCCACTTAAAGGCCCAGCCAATGGCTAGATATATCTAGGAATCAGTCTAACTCATCCATGATGTCTGTTTCATGCACAAATTTACTATGAGGGTAATGGTGCCATAGTGAGAAGAGTGGTCTTGGGTCTGGGGATGTGAAGTGTTCCCTCCAGTTGGCCAGTGGCTTCAAATGGCGTCTTGTAAGGGAAGGAGACGGCTGCCTTTTTGATCATTATCGTTCCTGCCTTTGGCATGAGTCACACTCAACGGAGCCTGGTAGAAATACCAGAACATGAATTGATGGCTGGTGATGGCACAAGACAGAAGTCTTCGCTTTGATATCAAGGTTTGGGTGTTTTGTTTTGTTTGAGAACTCTAGTTATTGGTAATATGTTGACTTGCGATGGTTGTATCCAGGAAAGGTAATTTTATTCTTAAGAAGAATTTTAGGCATAATCTCACTATTTTAAAACCTCATTGTGAAACCCACTAGACACTATACAACTTGGGGAAGAGGGAAGCTGGAAGGGGAAAAACTTGGAGAGAATGAGAGATGGGGTAACACTGTTCAAACGAAAATTTACTCATTACCTCACTTATGTAACTAACCCTTCTATACATCACCTTTACAATTAAAATGTAAAAATCTAAAAAATAAAAACTCATCATTTCTTAGTATGCCACAGGGGTTTATGTTTTTTGTTGTTGTTGTTCTTTTGTGCTGATACTGGGGCTTGAATTCAGGCCTGGGCACTGTCCCTGAGCTATTTGCTCAAGACTTGCACTCTACTCCTTGAGCCCCAAATACACTTCTGTCCCTTTGGTGGTTAACTGGGGATAAGAGTCTCATAAACTTTCCTGCCCAGACTTACTTTGAACCGAGATCCTCAGATCTCAGCCTCCTGAGTAGCCAGGATTACAGATGTATGCCACAGGTGCCAGGCTACCATGAGTTTTAGCAAGCATATACAGTTGGGTATTACTATCAAATATGGTGCAGTTGCATTACTCTGGACAGATCATCTGTACCCTTTGTAGGGCATTCATCATTCTACCCCAGCCCTGGCAACCTTTTATCTGATGCAGTCTAGTCTTCCAGAATATCAAATGGAAGAGATCATATAGTATATAGTTTTTTGAGTCCAATTACTTTCAGTCAGCAAAAACATTTGAGATGTTTGTTTAATTGTTATTTTAAAATCTATTGCCCAACCTTGGATATATGTAATCAAATCCCTGTAAATCACAGTGCTTAGGGAATGAGGTATTTTGATTTGAATCAAAACCTGTTTTGTTTGAATGTTTGCTACCAAACTTGTCCTGTGTCTTTTTTTACTTTAGGTCATAATTTCATGTTTCTTATGCTTAAAACCCTTAGTATGCGCTAAGGTCTATGTGTGTGTAGTGCTGTCTCCTCTGTAGAACTGCACAGTCAAGAGTTGACTGGGCATACTGTGTGGTTCCTGGAGATGTCCACTGTATTTCTCTTTGGACCTGTGCAATTCACTTCACCTTTGTCCTGATCTTACCTAGCATTTGGATGCCACCTCTCCCTCAGTTGCCTAATTCCTCACCTGTTCCCCAGCAAGCACTAGAGCTCCCTTCTTTCAGAGATTCCTACAATCTTTTGTATGTATGTGTGTGTGGAGGGGAGTGGGGTGGGGTACCAGTACTAGAACTTAAACTCAGAACCTCAAACTCAAGGCCTTGCATTCTTTCTTGGTGTTTTCTGATCGAAGCTGGTGATCTACCATCTCAACCAAACCTCCCCTTCCAGCTTTATGGTGGTTACTTGGAGATAAGAGTCTCATGGACTTTCCTGTCCAGACTGGCTTGGAACCACAGTCCTCAGATTTCAGCTTCCTGAGTAGCTGGAGTTAAAGGTGTGAACCCTCAGAGCCCATCTTTCCTAGAAACTGGACCATATGTATCCTGTTCTGGGTGGTGAAACATGACTGTACAATGGAACCATCCATGGATATTTGTGATACTATAAGAGAACATGATTTTCTTAGTCTGGGTTGTTGCTGGACATTGTGGACTTTTTAAAAGCTTTAGGTGATTTTATTTTATTTATTTATTGCTAGTCCTGGGGCTTGAACTCAGAGCCTGGGCACTGTCCCTGAGATTCTTTTGCTCAAGGCTAATACTCTACCACTCGAGCCACAGCACCACTTCCAACCTTTTCTGTTTATGTGGTACTGAGGAATTGAACCCAAGGCTTCATGCATGCTAGGCGAGCACTCTAACAATAAGCCACCTTCCCAGCCGGTTGATTTGAATGTGCAAGCATATCTGAGAACTATTGTGTAATATCATACTCATGTTGCCCTAGGTCCATATTTCTCTCTAATATGAATGCAAGTCTTAGATGGTCAGAGGCCCAGTTTTACCACCACAACAATAACAGATACTGTCAGAGTACTTTGCCTCTGAAACTTCCTCCTGACAAACTCTAGGAAACTAGAATTAATATCCCTTTTACTTGAAGGACATAGAAGATCAGAGAAGGTTAACAAGTTGCCCTAGACCAGATTTTCTATGAGATGGCATTGGGTTCCACTCCCACGCCTAGTTCCTGACTCCTGTAGGACATGAGAAGCCAGAACAAGCACTAAGTGCTCTCCTGTGGCGTGGGCTAGTGTTCAGCGTCGCCGGCTTGGGGAAAGAATGAGCAGAGAATGAACACTGCTTCCTCCCTTGGGCTTGGAACATCAAAGCTGTTCAGCAGGGTCCATTTAGTTCACTTATTGAGGGCCTCCAGAGAGCGTTGCTTTGTGAGTGAGAACTCCCTTTAATCTGTGCCTGCTCAGAATCTTCCCTGTCTGCTCTGCTTCTGGCCACATGTTATCTGCCATTCCATACACAGGCTGGAGCAGGCAGCGGTGATCTCTGGCTGCATGGGAATTTTAAGCTTATTTTTTGTTATTTTTGTTGTTGTTGTTGTTTTTAAGGTTGTGCCCAGTTAAGCTGAAGAGTACACTTCAGTCTTAACCTGAAGGCTATCAGAAGCAAGCTGTCTTGTGTTTCGTCGTAATTGCAATGTGTTCTCTTCAGGGGCGAGAAGAGTGTAATTGTCTTCTTAATTGGCATGTCTGCACATCTGTGCAACTGTGAGAATGACATTTATAATGATGGCTCTAAAGTTTTGCAAGATACTCTTAAGATGTCTTCTGAATCATCCGCGCTTCCTCTTTGATAAAATCCTCTTTGAAATTCAGAAGGCCTGGGTGCTACAAGGAAAAAAAAAAAACCCAAAACATATAGCCTGGCATTTAAGTGGATTTTATTTTGGGGGCCTTCCTGGGGTTTGAACTCAGGGACTTGTATAACTTGAGCTACCCCTTCAGCCTCGTTTTATCCCTGGTTGTTGTTGTTGTTGTTGTTGTTTTGTCGGCCGTGGGGCTTGAACTCTGGGCCTGGGCGCTGTCCCTCAGCTCTTCAGCTCAAGGCTAGCGCTCTACCACTTGAGCCACAGCGCCACTCCCTCCCCTGGTTGTTTTTAAGATAGGGTTTTGCTGTCTGCCTAGGTGTGTGTGCCTGTGCCATACTCTACCTCCTTCCAGGCTTCCTGTAGTTGCTGGGATCATAGAGATACCGCAATGTCCAGGGAACTCTACGGAGATGGAGTCTCATCAGCTTTCTTGCTGGGGCTAATCTAGTATCTTGATTCTCCCAGTCTCAGCCTCTGCCATTGCTGAGATGACAGGGGCTCCTATGGGTTGAGAACGGGGCTTATGCCATTATCTGCTTGGGCTGGCTTCGTATTGCTACTTGTTTCCCCAGGCTTTATTTTTGATTAATTATGTTTTGCCAGTACCGGGGCTTGAATCCAGGACCTGGATGCTACTGTCCCTTGGCTTTTTTAGTCAAGACTAGTGCTGTAACATGTGAGCCACAGCTCTACTTGGAGTTTTATGGTGGTCACTTGAAGAATCTCAGAGACTTTCTTGGCCTTGAGCCAAGATCCTCAGATTCCAGCCTCCTGAGTAGCTAAGATTACAGGTGTGAGCCATTAGAGCCTGGCTTCTGTTCTTACCATCTTGATGCTAAGTGGTTTTTAGTTTAAAGATGACTTTCTATGGTGTTGATTTCAGGTGTTCTTGTTTCCTTGTTGCCTATGCACATAGTCATCTCATATTTTTTTCCCCCTTTTCTTGGGGCGGTTATTAATCCACCTCCTGTGGCTGGGACAGTGTCATACAATTCAAACTCATCTTCCCTGGAGCAGCCAAATGGAGGTAGCACGAGTCCTGCCTGCAAGTCATCTGGGCTTGAAGCAAACCAAGGTAAGCTCTTAAGAGGGGTAAAAGAGAGGACACCCAGATGGAGAAAATGGATCTGCGATTGGCAATTATTATGACCCCGCCCATCACTTTCCCATCTTTTACTGCCCCCCCCTTTCCTCCGTCACAGAGGATATTGACCTCCATTCCATCAACTCTGTTAGGAAATTAGTTGTATCAGTGGGCATTCACATTTTGTTTTATGTGTATATGATGTATACCTATCGTTTGCCTTCTAAATTTTGATCTTTGTAGGAGAGAAGAGGAAAATGAATGACTCTCACATTCTAGAAGAGGCCAAAAGACCCCGGGTTATGGGGGATATTCCAGTGGAGTTGATTCATGAGGTCATGTCCACCATCACAGACCCTGCAACCATGCTCGGGCCAGAGGTGAGCAGGGCAAACGGCATCTGGGAGCTGGTAGGCGTCTCCTGTTCTTCCAGCCCCTTAAGCTCTCAGAAATGAAGCCTTCTGTTGTCAGCAGAGAATTAGCCTTCTGTCTAGGTTTGCATGGACCCTGGTGGTCCAGGTGGGAAGGGCAGGGTTGGCTAGTCAAGAGATCATTTCCTTCAAAGAATATCACATCACAGAGCCTCATGCTAATAATCTCTCACAGTTGCAACCCTTTTTATCTTGATGTATTTCTAACCCGGAAAATGTTACAGAATATCTGTGGTTCAAAACATAAAACAAAACTCTGGACTTCTAGATCCCTCTAGTTGTTAACATTAGGCCCCATTTCACTCTATCTTCTGCTTTTCTCTCTTGTGAACCATTTAGAATGGCTTCAGAGTTGAAAAGAGATAAACACTTTACCCTTAGCTTTCATAGGAGCAACGATATTCACTTTCAAAATCACAATGCAGTTAGCACTCTTAGAACATTTAGCTTGGCATATTAGCACTCTTAGCAAAGTTAGCACTCAGAAAATTTGGTTATAAAGTTTTCTAATATAAGGTTGCAGACTATAGTCCACAAACTGGATCTAGCATTCCAGCATTTTCCTTCCTTCCTTCCTTCCTTCCTTCCTTCCTTCCTTCCTTCCTTCCTTCCTTCCTTCCTTCCTTCCTTCCTTCCTTTCGTTCAAGGCTAGCATTTCACCAACTGAACCACAGCTCCATATCTGGTTTTTGGCAGTTAGAGATAAGAATCACCTGGACTTTCCTTCTCCCATTGACTTTGTGTCTCAATGGTTAGATCTCTGCCTCCTGAGTAACTAAGATTACAGGTGTGAGCCACCAGTGCATGGACTCAAATTTGTGGCTCAAGTGACTCTCCCATGTCAGCCTCCAGAGCAGCAGGAGGCTCCTATGTGTGGCTGTCTTTGCATGTAGTAGCAGGTTTGAGTAACTGGGATCTGCCAAATATATGCATCTCAAAAGCATAAAATACACCCCTCCTACCTTGTATTGAAAAGTTTGCTGGCCCTGGTGTAATATACATCCCATATCTAAATTCCCCATCGGTCTAAATGGTGTCCTTTGTCACAATTATTGCTGTTGTTGAAGGATCAACTAGGGAACAAAGCATTGCATCTAACTTTGATTTCCTCATGCTTTTAAGTGTCTCTCTTTTTGTGGGCGGTGCTCCAGGTTGAACCCACGGCCTTAGTATGCGAGGAAAACACACTACACTCAGCTATATTCCTAGTCTGCTAAGTCTCTTTACTTTAAAGCAGTAATTTTCCAGCTTTTTCTTGGCCTTTTGATATGATGTTGTTGATTCTTGGTCACCACTTTTGCTGTCTATTTGAATTTGTCTTTGCTTACTGGTTATTAGATTCAAGCACTTTTAGTAAAAGTACTGCTGCTATCTTGTTACATGATACTTATTGCAGAGTGGCTTAAGCCATAGGAAAAATGGCCTGGATATTATTTTATCAACAATTTTTATATCTTCTTACTATAGCTCTATTCAATTAAAAAAAAGATTAAGTTTTGCTTTGCCATTTTTTTTTTTTAGGTATTCTGTGATATTGAGGTTAATTCAGAGAACTGGACTGTTTTAGTAGAAATATATCCTCATGGACTAGGGTTAAAGCCTAACCTACATGAGGCCCCGGGTTTAATCCCTGGCACGACAAAATAATAATAATAAAGCTAGGATTATAGGCTTACGCCTGTAATCCTAACTGCTCAGGAGGCTGAGATTTGAGGATTGTGCTTCAGAGCCAGCCCTGGCAGAAAATTCTGTGAGACTTGTATCTCAAATTATTCGCCACAAAGCCAGAAGTGGAGTTGTGACTCAAGTGGCAGAGTTCCAGGGAGAACATAATACTCCGAGTTTAACCCCCAGTGCTGCTCCCTCAAAATAATAATAATAGATCTCATCATACGATTATTCTTTCCCATTGTGATGTTTGGTCTGTGAGGACTTCAAGCACTCGTTCTTCTCTTCTCTGAGTCTTTTTTTTTTGTCGGTTGTCTGCCTTGAACTCTGGGCCTGGGCACTATCCCTGAGCTATAGGGGCTATAGCACTTTACCACTTGAGCTACAGCACCACTTCTGGTTTTCTGGTGGTTAATTGGAAATAAGGGTCTCACACAGTCTTTCCTGCCCAGGCTCTGCATCCTGAGTAGCTAGGATTATAGGCGTGAGCCACTGGTGCCCAGCTTCTTCTCTTAGTCTTTTAAGGATTGAATATTTTCACTGATCTTAGTGTTTTGAGTTCTAAAGTGGACTGCAATCATGGTTGAAATTTGTTAGATGGATTTCATAGTGTGTGGAACTGGCTGGTACTGGCGCATGCATGGAAGTAAGCAGTTAAATTTTAGGAGTTTTCTAAGCTGGTTGTTAAATAGCTTGGTGGCTTGAAATTGATCACAGTGGTGCCTGGTCACATGGACATCCAGCTACTGTAGACCAATGAAAGCAGCAAAGTGCTACCAGTTAGGACTTTTCCTCCCTGAAGAGCTGTTTGTGGAACATTTATTTCCCTGCATTGCACTGATGGATTAAATAAGACGAGGAACACAGAGTACCGGCCCTTGCTGTAATGTCTGCTGTGGTTTAGTGAGGGTCAACAGATACTCCTTAGCAAAGAAAACTGTTCTCTGAAAAGAGGTGCTAAAATAGGAATGTGACCACTGTGTTTTGGTCTTTTATGAGAATTTGGGATCTGTCGTCACAATGGGTCTTTTAAAACTGAAGTAAATGAGATTATTATTATTATGTTTTTAAACAAGGGACTGGCAAACTATGGCCCATAGGCCAAATGTGATTTACTCTGTTTTATTTTGTGTTCTAGCTAAAGTCTTAACTGGAGTACTAATGCACCTATTCTTTTAGTACATCTGTTCCTTAACAGAGCATCTGTATCTTCCTTTGTACTGTAATAACAGTTGAGAAGTGAAGACAGAGATCTTATGGCTCAAACAGTCTAAGATGTTTTTTCTCAGGCACATGATGGAAAAATTGGCTGATAGCTTATCTGGCACCTTGGTGGTCCTCAGATTTCTCCCACTGCTTTACTTATCTTTCTATTTTGTCTTCAAGACTTGAGGAATGTGTGTGCATGTTCATGCATGTGTGTCTGCATGCATGTGTGTGTATTTGCACCCTGGAAATCCGCAAACGCGTACCTGACTAGAACAAAGAAGAGAAGCTTTGATGTGCCATTGCCTTCACAGAGTAGCTGTGTGTGACCTTTTCCTGTCTCCTGCATCCTAGACCAATTTTCTGTCGGCACACTCAGCCAGGGACGAGGCAGCGAGGCTGGAAGAGTGCAGGGGTGTCATTGAATTCCATGTGGTTGGCAATTCCCTGAACCAGAAACCAAACAAGAAGATTCTGATGTGGCTGGTTGGTCTACAGAACGTCTTCTCCCATCAGCTGCCCTGAATGCCAAAAGAGTATATCACACGTCTTGTCTTTGACCCGTAAGCTCTTCCTTCTCTGTTTCCCTGCCCCCCTTGATCCCAAAGCTTGGGTACTGTCCTCAGGGCTGGTGCTCTCCCACTTGAGCCACAGCTGCACTTCTGGCTTCTTTATTGGTAGTTAATTGGAGATGAGAGTCTCATGGAGTTTTCTATCTAGGCTGGTTTGAACTGTGATCCTCAGATCTCAGTCTCCTGAGTAGGTAGAATTATAGGCATGAGCCTCTGGTGCTCAGCTTAAAATGTTCTTGTTAACATGCTCTGTATTTTAAGTTACTATTTGGCTGCCCTGTACTCCATTCATTTAGCAATATACACACTTAGAAGCTATATTAGCTTTTTGGTAATCCACTCATTCTTGGATTAACTACTGTGGTGCCTGATCTGTAATTTTTTTTTTTTTCTTGATCCGGTCCTGGGGCCTAAACTCTGGGCCTGGGCACTGTCCCTTAGCTCTTCAGCTCAAGGCTAGCACTCTACCACTTGAGCCACAGCGCCACTTCTGGCTTTTTTCTTTTTGCTTATGTGGCGCTGAGGAATCGAACCAAGGGCCTCATGCATGCAAGGCAAGCGCTCTACCACTGAGCCACCTTCCCAGACCCTCTGCAGTTAATTCTTACTCAAAAACATTACAGATCAGGTAGAGCGCTTGCCTTGCATGCCTGAGGCCCTGGGTTCAATTCCTCAGCACCACGTAAGCAAAAAGAAAAAAGCCAGAAGTGGCGCTGTGGCTCAAGTGGTAGAGTGCTAGCCTTGAGCTGAAGAGCTGAGGGACAGCGCCCAGGCCCAGAGTTCAGGCCCCATGACCGGACCCAAAAAAAAAAAAAAAAAAAAAATGAAAGAAAAAGAATTAACTGCAGAAATGTGTATCATGTTTGTCATGACTTTGAGCTCTCTTCTTGATTCTCACCATGGTTCCCTGGGCATAGGGTATGCCAGTTCCAAAACACCTCCACACATACTTTCTTGCTACTTTTAGACATTGGAACTTACTAGAGGACATTCAATTTTGTTCTGGTGGGTGCTCTGATGATGCCTTTTGTTGTCAAGTCCTAGGTAAAAGTATAGTGGCTAGAATGAAGGAAGTTCCCACAGAAATTCAAGACATATCCCCCCCCCCCCTTTTGGTTAGTTAGTGACCACCCAGAGCATCCTTATAAAACCAAGATTGGTAAGACTTTGACATAATTTTATCCTTTCAGGAAACACAAAACCCTTGCTTTAATTAAAGATGGCCGTGTTATTGGTGGTATCTGTTTCTGTATGTTCCCATTCCAGGGATTCACAGAGATTGTTTTCTGTGCTGTAACTTCAAATGAGCAAGTCAAGATAAGGAAAACCCAGGGTCTTAGAAGAAAAGTGGGGTGTGGGGTTCGCACCAAAGCTGTGAAGCTTGGAGAAACTCTCTCTATTCTGTGTTCAGAGAAGACTGCAAATAGAGCTTATGGTTTTCTGAGATGAGTCTTCTTACTCTAACTGTGTGTTCATGTAAGACAGACATGGGGGAGAGAAGAGGAAAGTTGGGTTGTCAAAACGCACCCTCACTGTGCAATTCATGATGTACCTGAAGTGTACTCTGTAGCCAATGAAGAGAGCTTTGAAAGTAACGCTCAGTGTTTAACACACACACACACACACACACACACACACACACACACACACACACACACACACACACGGTATCATCAAGCCACCAGAAAGGTTGTAATTGATCTGGATTAGGAAGGTGATTTAGCCAGTTAGACTACAGAAAGATTCTATGATTCCTAAAGTACTTCTATAAAGGAAGTTATGAAGAATTTGAGTGCATTCATGAATCAGCATTCTTGTAGGGTTTGGAATGTGTTGGAGTTTTTATTTTCCCTACTTGTTAACTTATCTCCCCTTATCCTGGGCATGAATCCCTTCCTCCCTGGCAGGTGTGGCTGTTTTATTGCTGTTGTAGTTGGTCTGGCTAGACAACCCATGTGACAAAAAGAGGTCCTATCTAGATTATGTAATGACCTCCTCTGCTGCTCTGAGGAAACAGGGAATCAGAAATAAATCCTGAGAAGATTATGCATTGAGTATTCAGGGAGCTCTAAAAGCTACCATGGAAAAATATTATTGTGGGTGGTGGAAAGATGAGAAGAATGATTGCATGGTCTAAGATAATGTCCAGTAGAGGTCTATTGTAAGCTGAAACGTTGCAGTGATTGCATAGATGAGCTATTGAATCTTCTAATAGCCACATTTTAAAGAGAAGCAAGTGGAAACAGGTGAGATTAGTTATTAATAATATTTTGTTTTTCCCAGAATTCAATGTTATGAAATATTTTTGAGACCTTTTGGGTTCTTTTTTTTGTTTTTTTTTAATTTTTTTGTTACTAAGTCTTTGAAATCAATTGTATATTTTACACTTCTAGTATGTATCAATTTGGATGAACTATATTTCAATAAGACACATGTGGACCCTGGCTCCTGTATTGAGCAGTGAAGGATGAAATATGTGGTTGATTCCTTCCTCAAAGAAACTGTGTCATTCACAAAAACAAAGAATGAGTATTCTCTGCTCAAAGACATTGGGTACCTCTGATTTCAGTAGCAACCTTGTTCTCTGACCACAGTCGCCATTGTGGCTTCTGTGAAGTGTTTATTCTCACAAAGCACAGTGGAGGTGTGTGAGCACATCCAGGACCAAGTAAGTCAGGTCTTATTATTTGGATTGGGGAAATAAAGAACTAAATTTATTGGAGACTCTGTTTTCCAAAGGATTCTGACAGTATGTCTTTAAATGGTATTATTTGTACTGTTACATTCTCCCCTCCCCCAGCAAAGTGAGAAATGTTCAAGTACCCAGGTGTTTCTAAACATCTAGAGTTTAGGACTTTAAGGCAAATTTTAACTGTTCATAGAGAGAGGTTGTATAACACTTACTTTTTCTCCCTTCCCTTCCCTTCCCTTCCCTTCCCTTCTCTTCCCTCCCCTCCCCTCCCCTCCCCTCCCCTTCCCTCCCCTCCCCTCCCCTCCCCTTCCCTTCCCTTCCCTTTCCTCCCCTTCCCTCCCCTCCCCTCCCCTCCCCTCCCTTCCCTTCCTTCCCTTCCCTCCCCTTCCCTGGCTAGCCTTGAATTCTTGATTCTCCTACTTCCTTCCAAGCGCTAAGATTACAGGCATGCCCACCTGGCTCAATTGTATAAATTGTGTTTTTAGAGATAGGTATAACAAGAACTAGGCACTGGTGGCTCACGCCTGTAATCCTATCTACTCTGGAGGCTGAGATCTAAGGATTGTGGTTCAAGGCCAGTCCAGGCAAGAAAGTCCTTGAGACTCTTATCTCCAATTAATTACCATAAATCAGGAAGGAGGGCTGTGTGTGGTTTAAGTTGTAGAGAGCTAAACTTAAGCATAAAAGCTTAGGGACAGCACCCAGGCCCTGAGTTGAAGCCCCAGGTCTAGCATGCACATGTGCATGCCTCTGAGAGAGAGAGAGAGAGAGAGAGAGACAGACAGACAGACAGACAGAAACAGAGAGACAGAGACACACAGAGACACACAGACACATAGACACACACAGAGGCACACGGCTATAGCAAGCACCTTGTTTGGAAAGGTTAATTAAGGTTGATTTGGACACTTTTAGGGATGCCACAGGGAAACAGAATATGAGTTGCTGCTTTGTCTTGTTACTTCTCACAAGGGCAGTTTATTGTATTCCCTACACTGTAAAATTTTAAAGACTTGAATGAAGTTGGAAAAAAATGTCATAAATTCAGTAGAAAGCCCTAGAAAAATAAAGTCATTTCTTTGTTAGTGATCTGAAAGTGTCGTTTTAGAAAATGAAGATTAATATTATAGAACAGGATGAACAAATTGATGAAAGATATTATGTGTATTTATGTGTATAATGGATACATTACCTTTTTAGGGACCAACTGTTTAGTACAAATAGAAATGGGAGAAACAGTTACATCATTAATTTCCTGTCTTTTCATTGCCCCATGTCTTTAGTTAATAATTAATGACCAACTCCGGAGCCAGGTACTACCTTAGATACTTAGATTTTCAAAGGTATCTGCCAACCCCAAACACTGGAACACACAGACATTCTGCTTCACCGTGGGGTAAAACTCAGTGAATCCCAGTGCTAGTAGCACTTGCTTGTGAAGTCAGCAAATCTGTATTTACTATATTAAATGTGTGGCTATGTCTTTAAAATTATATCCAGGGGCCAGAGGTGTGGCTAAAGTGGTAGAACACCAGCTGAGCAAGAGCAAGGCCTTAAGTTCAAACCCCAAAATAATATGTGTGTGTATAAGTAAAAGGAAATAAAATTTTGTCCAGTCATTTAGGTGAATCAAGGTTATCTTTTAATTCCTGTGAGTACTTTAATATTTTCATGTGAGTTTATCTGGTTTAAGAACACATAAAAGGTAATATTTGAAAATATGCCCGAAGCACCTTATCAGGTTTTAGAATATGTTTTTCATCTTAAAACTCCTTGGTCTTGATAAGTTTAAAATTATATAGCTATTTATCTCTATAAAATTATATAGCTAAAATTACATAGCTAGTGTGTTCTGGCTGACCTGGAGATTCTGGGCTTTTCCAGTCCTCTTTTCCTTATTCTTTTTTGCTTGTTTGTTTGTTTGTTTTTTGGTTGGAGACCAGGACTCAAACTCTGTACCTGATTGCCTGATTTGCTCATTGGCCAGCAATCTACCAACTGTGCCCTGCCCCCCCCAATCCCCAGATCTTTCTTGAAAAGGTCTGATGATAGCAGGTTAGAAATTCTGTGTATGCTGGGCGCTCAGGCCCACTCAGGTCTGTAATTCTAACTACTTAGGAGGCTGAGATCTGAGAAGTCACTGTTCAAAGTCAGCACAGGCAGGAAAGTCTTCCTTCAATTAAACACCAAAAAAAAAAAAAAGAAAAAGCTGAAAGTAGAGCTGTGGCTTAAGTGGTAGAACACTAGCCTTGAGCAAAAAAAAAATCTGGGACAGCACCCAGATTCTGGGTTTAAGTCCCAGGACTGGCACCAAAAAAAAAAAAAAAGAAAAAAGAAAAAGAAAAAATCCCACAGTAATTTTAGAAGGGTTGATATTATGTAATGCAGAGCAAAACACTTGGATTAGTGATTTTCTAGTGATCATTAGCACTTTTCATTTATACACTTCTTTAAATCCTAGATTCTGAAATACTTTCAAAATTAAGCAGAAATTCATTAAAAGTATTTACTCCATGAAAACTTAACATCTTAGCTAGGAATTTTTGTATCTGAGTTTGTAGTTTCAGTGTATTATGGCCAAAGAAGCAAAAACATATTTTCCAATGTTGTTTTTTTATCTTGAACCAAGAATTTTGAAGATTTTTTGTAGTTCTCTCCCTCATTTTCAAAGTTCAGAAATTGTTATAAATTGTTAATATTAGATTTCCCCCAGGAGAGTTTCTGTTGGTAATATACACATATATATGTTATGTTAAAAATATGTTATGATCATATATATATATATATATACACACACACACACACACACACACACACACACACACACACATACATATGTATCTCCAAGCACAATCTCTTCAGTTTTCCAACATTTCCTGGCAAGATTGTAGGATTTTCTTTTCTCCAAGACCTAATCCATTTGTCTGCATGCTAACTTGTGCACAGGGCTATGGAACACACCTGATGAATCATCTGAAAGAATATCACATAAAACACGACATCCTCAACTTCCTCACATACGCTGACGATTATGCAATTGGATACTTCAAGAAACAGGTAAATGGCTGGGACTGTGGCTTAGTGAGTAGAGTGCTTGCCTAGCATGCACAAAGACCTGGGTTCAATTCCTCAGCACCACATAAACAGAAAAAGCTGGAAGTGGCGCTGTGGCTCAAGTGTGGCTAGGGTGGCTAGCCTTGAGCAAAGGAAGCTCAGGGACAGTGCCCAGGCCCTGATTTCCAGCCCCAGGACTAACAAAAAAAGAGAAGAAAGAAAGATGAGAGAGAGAGAGAGGGAGAGAGAGAGGGGAGGGAGGGAGGGAGGGAGGGAGGTTAAGAGAGAGAGAGAGGGAGGGAGGGAGGGAGGGAGGGAAGTTAAGTGTCCCTGTGTGGCTGTGTTCAGGTAGACAAGTCTGAGAGACTTCCATCTCTGTGATAGTCAAGCTGGATCATGGGGGCTTGTACCTGTCATCCCAGGGAAGATGGGATGGGTATCACAACAGGAAGTAAGGCTCTATCCTGAAAATAACCAGTGAAAAACAAGATTGGAGGCATAGCTCAGCAAATAGTTCCATAGTTTCAGCCTGTTAAGATTGAGGCTCTGAGTTCAAACCTCAGTAGTACTACCCCCCCACCCCCACCCCCAAAAAAAGAAAGAAATAGATACATTTAAACTTTGAAATGGCCGTAGTTATTAAGTAAAAATTAAATGTCCAGGCTGCCACTGTGCTTGAGATGTCAAGTATATCTTTGTGCCCAGTGATGGCACAAAGGGATCTTGTGACACATTCTGCTTGGGCTAGCCAGAAACTACAATCCTCTGGTTCTTAGACTACCAAGTAATTAGGATTACGGTGGCACGAGCCACAGGTGGCTTGTTATTTGGATAATGTTAAAGTGTTATATAATTTTCTGTTTGCACTATTTGAATGACATGAGTAGTTTTCAAGCTAATCCTCTTCCTAGTATGTCAAGGAGATGGAAGGGAAGCATGCTGGAGTCCTTTCTCTGTGCCTGGATATTGTTAGCACTCAGTAGCTATGTGATCCAGTGTCCATATGAACGAATGGATCTGCTTTGTAGGGTTTCTCCAAAGAAATTAAAATACCCAAAACCAAATATGTTGGCTACATCAAGGATTATGAAGGAGCCACCTTAATGGGATGTGAGCTGAATCCTCGGATTCCGTACACAGAGTTCTCTGTCATCATTAAAAAACAGAAGGAGGTACGAATTGACTGAGCTTTATATCCGAGGTAGATGGTGTTTCACTGGGTTCCATGTATGTTTATCTAATGCTGTCATAAATGTTTGCCTGGCTCCTTTTTGGTGGTTTTTTTTTTTTTTTTTTGTCGGTCGTGGGGCTTGAACTCTGGGCCTGGGCGCTGTCCCTCAGCTCTTCAGCTCAAGGCGAGCGCTCTACCACTTGAGCTACAGCGCCACTTTGCCTGGCTCCTTTTTGGGTCATTAATCCTTAAGAGAGTCAACCTAAAATGTAGAATATGCAATGATATGTTTTATCATTTCCTGCCAAAGGCTTTTACATTCTGGCCTCAATCATCCTTCTCCTTCCCTCTATCTTCCTCTCCCTTCTCCCTCTTTCCCTGTCTCCTTTCCTTCTCTCTTCCTTCTCTCACTTTGTCTGTCTGTCTGTCTGTCTGTCTGTCTGTCTGTCTCCCCCTCTCCCTCTCCCTCTCTCCTTCTCTTCCTCTCTGTCTCAGCTTACATCAGCTTACATTGTTATACAGAAGATTTCATTGTTCTATTTCTACACATATTTATAATATATTCCACTCTAACCCCCTTTATCACTCTCCCTCCCCCTTTCCCGCAGCTTTTACTCCTCTATTTTCATAGTTGCAAATGATCTGCTTCAACTACATCCACCTCTTTCATCCTCTTTGCTAGCCTGGCTCCCTTCCTTCATTGCTTACCACAGCAGTCCACTGCTCTGTCTACATCCATATTTCTCTATTGAGCAATAACTTTTTATTGAGGATCTTTGTGCTGTTTTCATGTGTACTTACAGTGTATTTCAAAATTATTCATCCTCTTCCCTTTCCACCTCTCTCTTTCCCTTCTCCTCCTAAGTAGTCCCTTAGACTAAGGTTCTATATTTATCTATAAATATGTAATTATCTATATGAGTATATATGTATATGTCCATGAGTGTGATATCTTTCAGGTCTAGTCCCCCACATAGGAGTGAGTGAAAACATATAGTATTTTGTTCTTTGAACTGGGCCTGTCTCATTCAACATTCGATTATACATACCTCTTTCCCCTCATCCTATTTGAATTCTCCACCCTCTTGCCGCCCACCCTTTTCTCCAGATATGCAAGGCCCTGCTCTGCTCTCCTCAACCCCTGCTTCTACTCTTCCTGTTTGGGTTCTATTATTCACGTTCCATGGGCATTACTTCAAGTTCTGAAGGCTTCTCTTTAGATACCTGAGGTGATTTGTGATTTGACATCTGAGTAATGAGTTTCATGCATCTTGAGCAATGAAAGAAAGAGACATAGGCATTTTAAATTTCCCAAAAGCAGAACAAATCAAGTAACAACGTAAGAAGAGTCCACATTTGTTAGGAAATGAATGCACATTTTGGTTTCTTCCCAGTACCAGGCTGGAGTTTAGTTTGCTGGTGTTCAGGAATCAGGGAGTTCATTTGAACTTACTCTTCTCTTGCAAATTACCAAAGAAACACGTCTGTCTGTCTTCGGCCTACCTTTACTTCTTGTTTTCTGCAAATACCCTTAATCCTGGTTCTTAGTAGCTTAGCGACTGGTCAGGTTTTACCCACATTCACAGCCAGCAAGCTTGTTATTTGATTTGATTTGTTTTCTTTGATTTATAGCAGCTCAAACTTGTTTTTCTGCTTCTATAAACATGAGCAAATTGGCATTTTCTGTTAAATTGGGAAGTTAAAACAAATTTTCTTTGTCTTGGTCACAGAACCTAAAAAAAGGATTCCAAAGAGGGTGAGTGTTTGGAAGAGTTAAGGAAACACAGCAGGCTCCTCTCCAGCCTGCTCTCTCTCAAGAGCTGGCTTTCCTCATTGTTCTCTGGGGCTTAATGAGCGGCTGTGGCAATCTAGGCTGCTGGCCAACTACTGCCTTCAGTGTGCTGTCAGCTGCTCTCTGCCCAATCCTGCCCAGCAGCAATTCAAACCCCAGATTAGCTGAGCACAGGAGTCCCCTGGCAGAGTGTATAAGCATTCATTGATGCTGAGATTTATTGGCCCTTCCTACCTACAGGGTGCACAGAGCTCACAAAGCATTCAGCCTTTTAGAAGACAGGGCTCCCTCCCCCTTTTCTCTCCTGATGGCTCTTGCTCTCTCTCTCTCTCTCTCTCTCTCTCTCTCTCTCTCTCTCTCTCTCTCTCTCTCCCCTCTCTCCCCCCTCCTTCCCTCTCTCCCTTTCCCTCTCCCTCTCCCCCTCCCTCTCCTCTTCCTCTCTCCTTACCACTTTGTCACACAAGTCACTGAATGGCTTCTGGAGGTTTGGCGCTGTTAACCTAGTTCCTTTAGAGGAAATCTGAACTTATCATCATAAAATGTTTGGATGCACGGACAAATTTTTCCTTATCCAAAATTATTTGTGTGATGAGAAGTAGTTTAGATTTTGGAATTTTTAGAATTTGGAACAAAATACCAGATTGAGTATCCCTGTTCTGATAATCAAATTTCTTATAACCCCCTAAACATTTACTGGGAAAAAAAAAGAAAGAAAGAAAGGGAGGGATTAACAATGGCAGTAAACAGCCTGAGCATGGTGGCATACTTCTGGGATCCTAGCACGTGGGAAGATCAGAAGTTTGGGACTAGACAAAGCTATGTAGTGAGATCCCATTCTGAAACAAACAGATCACCTCCCCCCCACCACGCACACACCTCCCAGGGGAGGCTAGGGATGTAGTTCTGTGGTAGAGTGCTTGCCTGGCATGTACAAGGCCTTGGGTTTGATTCCAGGTACCACCACTACCACCACTATGACCAGCACCACAAGAGAAGACAGACTTAACAAAAGTCAATGTTCATCTAGAGGAGTAGGAGTCACTAGCCACATGTGGCTATTGAGCATTTGGTCTGTACCTAGTCAGAACTGGGATGTGATGTAGTAGGCCTAGAACGCTCCAACTTCTAAAGACTTTGTTAGGAGTAAATGAATGTCAAGTACCTCTCAACTATTTTTGACACAGTGAGTTCAATGAGAGATGTATTATTATTAAAATCAACGTCACCTGTTTCTTTTTACCATTCGAAAACATGGCTACTAGAAAAAATTTTAATTACAAATTAAATTAATAAATTACATTCGAATTTAAAATGCAGTAGGAATTACAGTATCTATTTCTAATTGGGTAGCACTAATCTTGATTTGCCAAGGATGCACATTTACGATTCCTAGTCATTTGGGGAAGTTGTTGTTCGACAGATAGGACTGTAAATTCATTCTGCAGTGATCACCAGCCATATGTAACTAGAAGAAGAACTGGTGTTCCCTGTCTCCCCCCCCCCCCCATTATGAATTGAGTAGTGACTTCTATTGTTTTGCAATTCTTCCCTCAAATTTAGATATGCTATGTAATTATTGAGGAGTTTTTAGTTTTTATTTGAGACAAGGTCTAGCTATGTATCCTAGGCTGGCCTTGAACTCACCATCATCTAGCCTTAGCATACCAAGTAATTGTGTGTGTGTGTGTGTGTGTGTGTGTGTTGTTTTGTTGTTTTGTTTTTAATTTTATTTGTGTCAGTCCTAGGGCCTTGAACTCAGGACCTGGAGGCTGTCCTTTAGCTTTTTTGCTCAAGGCTAGCACTGAACCAGCCTCAGTTCCACTTCCAGCTTTTTTGATGGTTAATTAGAGATAAGAGTATCATGGACTTCCCCTGGCCCTGCTGGCTTCTAACTGTGATTTTTCAAATCTCAGCCTCCTAAGTAGCTAGGAGGCCTGAGCCACTAGCATGGCTTCCCTGAGCTTTGATTCTCAAGGCTAGCCCTCTACCACTTGAGCCATAGTTCCCACTTCCTGCTTTTTGATAGTTAATTGGAGGTAAGAATTTCTTTAACTTTCCTGCTCCACCCTGGCTGGCTTCTAACGGGGTCCTCAGATCTCAGCATCCTGGATGAGCTTCTAACGGGGTCCTCAGATCTCAGCATCCTGCATATTTACCTTTAAAGGGATGAGTCACCAGCTCTCCAGTGTTTCTGTTTTTAAAGGAAAACTGTAATGTCTTTGGAATTACTTACCTAAGTTACTTTAGGATTGTTTATAAACTAAAGAAAACAGCTTTCTGAAGTTCTGAATGAATCAAGCATTTCAAGTAACCTTTGATGGTGCTCAGTAGATAGTACTTTAGAACAGCTTTCTAATGAGAATAGCATTCATTGGGGCTCAGCCTTCAAAGATCCTCTTCTCCCTTCTCTTCCCTTCTTCCACCCCCCTCTCGTCGCTCCTCCTCCCTCCTCCCTTCCCAGTTTAAATAATAGCAGGTTATACATTTTCCAGAGTTCTGGGCATTTCTGAGGTCTTTTCACCTGCTCCTCCTGTCTGAAAGGGATAGTCTCCACTATGGGGGGTGAAGAAGTTCTTTCCCTTGGACAAGTGCTGCCAGGAATACACAGCTCTTCTGAACCTGGCTCCTCAGAGAAGCAGAGCAAAGTGGTGGGTTCTTGTGCCCAAGAGGAGAAGTGAAGTATAGGGCAATGCGTTCTCAGCATTGACTTGCTTTGTTAAATAATTTTTTACTACCATATGTTTCCTTGTGGCATTCCTGCACATGTATACAATGACAGAGTGCTCACATGCTCCTTTCTAGTACTCTATTCTCCTACACTCCTTTTTAAACTTCTCACAATTGCTTTTATTAGTGTATATTGATTCCTTTTACAAAAATGTGTTCTAAATTATAGTTAACATATGAATTTCACCATAAGTAAACAAGTATCATGCTCTATACATGAACACACTCTCCTTTCCAACTTGTCGCCCCTCCCCTCTTCCCTAAGCACCCTGGTCTGTATATCAGGGCCCAGTGTTTCTGAGATGGATCTGATAAAAGAATGTCTTCATTTCTGACCTGTTCAATAGCATTCATCCTTTCCTGCCATTTTGTACCATGAAATACTCTTGCAAGGAGAATGTTTCCTTCAAGTTGCTGACTTGAACTGTGTCATTGCACAGACTTCTTTCACTCAACGTATTTTATTCCTGTACTTTACAGATAATTAAAAAGCTGATAGAAAGAAAACAGGCCAAGATCCGAAAAGTCTACCCTGGACTTTCATGTATTAAAGATGGAGTTCGACAGATTCCTATAGAAAGCATTCCTGGAATTAGTATGTATAGACATTCTTTTTATCTTTTGGAGATGTCAGAAGTTGTATTTGAAACAATTTCATTCTCATGTGTGTTATTTCTAGTCTTAAAAATTATTACTGTTAGTCAGGTGCCAGTGGCTCGTGCCTGTCATCCTAGCTACTCAGGAGGCTGAGCTCTGAGGATTGCAGTTTGAAGCCAGCCTGGACTGCAAGGTCCATGAGACTCTTACCTCCAGTTAACTGTCAGGACTGACACTAACCATCAGGAAAACTGGAAGAGAAGCTGTGGCTCAAAGTGGTAGAGCACTAGTCTTGGAGCACAAAAAGCTCAGGGACAGTGCCCAGGCCCTGAGTTCAAGCCCCATGATGGAGAAAAAAAAATATTATCTTCAAGTAGTTGTACAAAGGGGTTTCAATTCAATCTGTCAGGTTATGAGTAAAATGCATCCTGATCAGTGGCACCCTTTCCATCATTTCTAATCTTTAAGAAGGCAGCAAGCTGGGTATGGCTATATAATCCCAACCACCTGGAGGCAGAGACAGGAGGATTGTGAACTCAAGAATAGTCTTAGGTTTATATAATTAGACCTTGTCATCAACAAACAAAGAAAAGGTAGCAAATGCCTCCCTTTTAATGTCCTTTTTCTTTCAACTCCAACAAATCAATGAAAATTCCTTCTTGTTTTCACTATTAATATCTACCCTTTATTAAGATCTTAGCATTTGTAGCACACTACTGGATGCTAGCAACATGGAACATGGAAAACCGCAGAACTATACATATACAAATGGGGAAACTGAGTCTCAGAATGGTTAGCATTTAATTTTAAATGATTCATTACAGCTAATGGATGAGTTGTACTGGTTGAGCCATCCCAATTAGCTATTTCTTGTACATCAAAAGCTATTGAATATCATTGGAACTTTTACTTGACTCAAATCCAGCTTCTAGTAAAGATTTAATAAACTAAACAAAACCAGACAAAATTCTCCAGAGAAAAAAGATGTTATTTGGAAAAGATAAAATTACCTTATTATATCTTTCCTTATTTTCACTGCTCAACCTATAGTCATTTTTATTCCTACTAATGGTATAATAGCTATCATATTATTATGATCTTGGACCAAGTATTTTTTCCTTCCTTCCTTCCTTCCTTCCTTCCTTCCTTCCTTCCTTCCTTCCTTCCTTCCTTCCTTCCTTCCTTCCTTTCTTCCCTCCCTCTATCCCTCCATTCCTCCCTCCTTCCCTCCCTCCATCCCTTCCTTCCTTCCTTCCTTCCTTCCTTCCTTTCTCTAGCTCTCCCTCCCTCTGTCCCTCTGTCCCTCCCCTCCTTCCTTCCTTGTACTGGAGCTTGAATTCAGGGCCTGTTAGCTGTCACTTAACTTTTTTGCTCAAAGCTAGTGCTCTACCACTTGGGCCACAGCTCCACCTCTAGGTTGTTGGTGAGTAATTGGAGATAAGAATCTCATTGATTTTGCTGCCTGGGTTGGCCTAAAACTGCAATCCTCAGATCTCAGCCTTCTGACTAGCTAGGATTACAGACGTGAACTACATTATTTTTATTATGAACTCATTTCAAAAGATATCATATCACTTAAGTTTTAGAATTTCATTTTATAGCTTGGTAGCCCGAGATGTAAGAGGATTAAGTGACTTAGGGCATGATAGCCTTTCAGTAGTGAGCAGGAAGAAATCTGTGCTCTGTCTACACTGAAACATCGTGCATCACAAACAGGCCGTGACCAAATAGCACAGAGTTTGTTCTGACCTAAAATAATACCTTCATTATTTTACATTGTGATTAGCAAATAATTTGACTTAGAATTTAAAAAAATATAATACTAAATCTTTGTCTCTAGTGAAAGGTAGAGTTAAAGGCCAGAGTTTCCATTTTACAAAACATACAGTAGCCCGTTTGAGGAATGTTTTGTATTATGAGCTTGATAAGAAAGTGAATAAATGCTGATGATTTAAGATTTCCCAGACATTTCTCGAGGCATGGCCATAATGGATTATACTTTTACCAAGTATGCTATTCTCTTGACCAGAAGCATTTCTCATTTAATGTTTCATTTTCTTGACCTAGGAGAGACAGGCTGGAAACCAAGTGGAAAAGAAAAAAGGTAAGGAAGATGGGTAAGTGGCTGTGAATGGAGGTTGCTTAATTTTTTCCCCTCTTCCAGCAACTTAGAGAAAAAGGGCCAAGTGATTATTATAATGTCTCCCACAGCCCTTGTTGGGGTTTGTTGTTCCTTAGTTCTGGAATGGATTGTATTGGGGTTTCTGTGAGGCCGGGCTGCGTAGAAATAAGCGGGCAGCAGGGTCAGAACTAATCTCTGCTCCTGATGTTTCCTCTTTTCAAGTAAAGAACCCAAAGACCCTGACCAGCTTTACAGCATGCTCAAGGGCATCCTCCAGCAGGTGAAGGTAGGTGTTGCTTTCATTTTTTTCATGCCGGTGTTTTGAAATGACTTCCCACCCGGAACAGTCATATTAGATACCTTCCTTTTCTTTCCTTTACTCAAGAGCCATCAAAGTGCTTGGCCCTTCATGGAACCTGTGAAGAGAACAGAAGCTCCGGGATATTATGAAGTTATACGGTAAACATTCAGAATTGCAGAAACTGCTACTTGTGCTTATACTATACTAAAATGCATAATTAGTTGAATCAATTTAGAATTCCCAAATTCAATCAACTTGGTACTGTGCAGATGAGAACTAGCTGAAATGAGAGCAGATTCTTCTGTTCCTCTTTTACTTGTAATCCTTTTTTTTTTTTGTCAGTCATGGGGCTTGAACACAGGGCCTGGGCCCTATCCCTGAGCTCTTTCACTCAAGGCTAGCGCTCTACCACTTTGAGCCACAGCTCTATTTCTCCTTTCCTGGTGGTTAATTGGAGATAAGAGTCTCACGGGGACTTTTCTGCCTGGGCTGGCTTCATACCCATGATGCTCAGATCTCAGCTTCAGCCTCCTGAGTAGCTAGATGTGAGCCACTGGCTCTCCACTTATGTTTATTTATTGCTTTCTTAGAAGATTTTTTTCTAAAGAGGTTTCTTCTCTTTTTCCCATGTTCTACGACCTCTTTTCTCTCATCTTTATAAATGGGTTTTACCTAGGGAGTGGCAAACTGCAAATTGCCTGAGTAGTCTGAGCCAAGCATGACATCTTCCTACCTGTGATTGCTAGACAGGGTCTTCCTGCTCACCTTCGAAAATGCAGTTCATTTCATTCTACCTCCATATTTGGTACTATCCTTCCTTCCTACATTCCTTCTTTTCTTTCTCTCTTGATGCCAATTCTGGACCTTGAACTCAGAGCCTGGCACTGTCCCTGAGCTTTTTTTTTTTTTTAACTCCAGGCTAGTGCTCCAGCACTTAAGTCACAGCTTCACTTCTGGCTTTTTAGATGCTTAATTGGAGACAACAATCTCAGGGACTTCCTACTGAGCCACTGGTGCCTGGTGATGCCAGTGTTTTTTGTTTTGTTTTTTTTTCCTGCCAGTCCTGGGGCTTGAACTGAGGGCCTGGGCACTGTCCCTGAGCTGCTATTGCTCAAGGCTAGCACTCAACCACTTGAGCCACAGTACTACTTCCAGTTTTTTGTATATGTGGTACTGAGGAATTGAACCCAGGGCTTCATGCATACTAGGCAAGCACTCTACCACTAAGCCACATTCCCAGCCCAGCAGTGTTTTTCTAACCCATGGTGTTTAGTCAATCAAAATAATGTAAGTGGATCAAAGAAAGAAAAATGCTATCTGTAGCATTAGAATAGAAAAATGAATTGTAATTCAGAATGGATTCTAATTCTTTTGGAGGGTCAAACTACCACTATAATTCTGGCTTTGTTTCTGCTACTAGTCTCTTCTTACTTTCCACTCACCCCTACCCCACCTAAATGTTTGAAAGGGCTTTGGACCCTCTTTGTACTTTCCCTCCCTCTTTCCCTCATCCACTTCCTCCCTCCCTCTCTTTTTAAAAAAAAATGATGTGTGTGTGTGTGTGTGTGTGTATGTATGTGTATGTGTATGTACGTATGTGTGTGGTTTGTAGGTTTTGATGCCTGAACTCAGGGCCTCACATTCTTATTTAGCTTTTTGAGTCTGGGCTAGTGCTCTACCACTTGACCACATCTCTAGTTCCATCTTTTTGCTGGTTAATTGGAGATTAGAGTCTCTTGGATTTGTCTGCCCAGGCTAGCTTCAAATTGCCTTTTTAGTTTGTTTTCTTCACAGAACTTAGTTGTTGGTTTATGTTTTTGGTTTTGGCTACATGTTACTTTCTTCTAAAACATTATAAACTTACTGGGCAGCATATCTTAAGAGATAAGAAATTTAGGGAAAAGGAATACAAACACCTGGTTTTACTTAATGAGGAATAATTTTTTATTAAGTTTTTTTTATTGTGAAAATACCATACAGAGGGGTTACAATTACATGAGCAAGGTAATGAGTACATTTCTTATCAAGCATTGTTGTCTCCTCCTTTGTTTTTCCCTTACCATCCCTGCTCTCCCATCTCCATGACTATACTCCCCACCTTCCCCCAAAGTTGTAAAGTTCGTTTTTCAACATAGCATTTTGTACATCTCATTGTTGCAATGGGTCCACTTGTATCCCTATTTAAACAATTTTTTTCCTACCCCTCCCCAAATTTTACCAACATCAAATACAGTGAAAACAGGGGTTATGCCATGGGGGAGGGACATACAAATCAACAAAACTATAGCCAATATAGTGAACCAACCCAGGTGCCCCTCAGATGAATGGATCAGGAAAATGTGGTATATATACACAATGGAATTCTATGCCTCCATCAGAAAGAATGACATTGCCACATTTGTTAGGAAATGGAAAGACTTGGAAAAAATTATATTAAGTGAAGTAAGCCAGGCCCAAAGAAACATAGGTCCCATGGTTTCCCTTATTTGCAATAACTAGTATATGTCTGAGACAAGCAGAAACGGTCAGATAACTTGATGTTAGGCGAAATGAACCTCAAGATAAGGACACAAGTGGTTTTTTCTTTCTTGCGATTGTTTCTAACATATTTATAAGGTGATTGTTTTGTTGCTTTGTTTGAGGCATAAATTTAGTCTTTCTTCCTTAAATGAGAGAACATCTTGATGCTTTCAGCCACACTTAGGTGAGATGTTTAGTAGAGGATTTGTTGAGTCTTTGTTTGTCTTAACATGTTTAGATTTTTTTTTCTGTCTCCAAACTGCTTGTGTTAGAGAGAAAAGAAAAGTTAAAAGTTGAATTTACAGATGTGATGACATGAACTAACAGGGATAGGCGTTAATTAAAAGAGACAAAGAGAAACATATTTTTCCACATTTTTCCTTTGGTGTTTTGTAGTCGGCTTGAGATTTTTGGTGTAAATGAATTCATTCCCCATTCAGGATGTGATGAGTTGTAGAGAGAGAATGCTAGTGTATCTGGTAGCAGATTTTGTTTCCTCTGGAAAATTTGATAATATAGTGGAAATTTTGGATTTTTACAATGCTGTGAAGTTTTGACTTACTTGTATAGTTAACACAGTTACAGTTTTTGGTGATTGAGCTAGACTTAAAGACACCTGAGGACCCTTAAATAGACAAACCTTAGTATCCGGTTTGCATTGAGTTGCATAAATTTGTCCTCACCATGAAGATTGAGGAAACTCCATGTATTCTAAGGGAGAGAGATCAAGCATTGTCTTCATTTGCTAATAAGTTATACGATTTAAACAAGTAGATATATTGAGAAAATATATTTCACAAGTCTTGCAAAGTTTATTTACTTTAGAAAAATGACTATGAGGGCTGGGAAGTGGCTTAGTGGTAGAGTGCTTGCCTGGCATGCTTGGAATTTGATTTCTCAGCACCACATACACAGAAAAAGCAGGAAGTGGTGCTGTGGCTCAAATGGTAGAGTGCTAGCTGTTAGCACAGGAAGGTCTGTGACAGTGCCCAGTCCCTGAGTTCAAGCTACAGGACTGGCAAAAAGAAAAAAAGAAAAATGACTATGAAGTTAGTCATTTTTATTTAATTGATGGAACATGAAAATTTCTTTTTTACTGTTTCATGTGCTGGCACTGAAATATTTTTTTTTGTTTTTGTTTTTGGTTAGTCATGGAGCTTGAACTCTGGGCCTGGGCTCGGTCTCTGAGCTCTTCAGCTCAAGGTGAGCACTCTACCACTTGAGCCACAGTGCCACTTCCGATTTTCTGTTGGTTTATTAGAGATAAGAGTCTCACAGACGTTCCTGGACGTTCCTGCCGGGGCTGGCTTTGAACCGTGATCCTAAGATCTCAGCTTCCTGAGTAGTTAAAATTATAGGCGTGAGCCACCGACACCCGGCTTGAAATATTTGGAGTTATACCTAATGATTAGTTTTTATACTTTAGTAGAGAATTTACTTTGAACTTAGGGAAACTCAGTCCAATTGTTTTAAGTAATTAAATGATTCAATACAAATGTCTATCTGCTCTGTGTGATGAAGATAGAACCCCTGTATAATTCAGAATGAATAGCTAATAGCAGTCTGTTTACCATACTTAGCTCTTGATAATCTACTTAGCTTCCTTGTGTTCAATGGAGGATTGAACCAGATAACTAATAATGGTCCCTTTAATGATAAAGTGGATCTGATTTTGTTATAAAATCCTCTCAAAAGAATAAAGTAAGATTTAAAAACTGTTTTTTCAACCACATATATTCTTTCCCACAGTTAGTCTTATTTGCTTATATTAGTGCTTAATAAGAGTCAAATATTGTTAATATTTTTTTTTCCCTGTGCAGATCTGAAAACCATGAGTGAACGCCTCAAGAATCGGTACTACGTGTCTAAGAAATTATTCATGGCAGACTTACAGAGAGTTTTTACCAATTGCAAAGAGTACAACCCCCCTGAGAGTGAATACTACAAATGTGCCAATATCCTGGAGAAATTCTTCTTCAGTAAAATTAAGGAGGCTGGATTAATTGACAAGTGATTTCCTTTCCCTCTGCTTCTTAGAAACTCATCAGCAGTGTGCCTAAAGCAAGATGGTTTCATTTTATTGTTTTCTTTTGTTGTTGTTGTTGTTTTATTTTAAAGAACTGAATTGGAGATGTCTTTGAAGAGACTTGTAAATGTAATAATTAGCACTTTTGAGAAAACAAGACAACCTCCTGTTAGCTTTTCAGATAGGTATTTAAATTGAAGTCATAGAACATTTTTATTTGATGGAATAGATTTGAATCTATTTACTGCTAGGATGTACATTTTCTATGACAAGTCCATTAGCCCACTATTCCATGATAGAAGATCAGGGGTTTTCAGACCGTGAATGTGTCCATTTTTTTTTTTCCTAATGGAATGTGAGAGTGTAGTTTTATTTTATTCTGAAGGACTTGAAGGAGGAAATAATGATAAAAAGCCCATAAAAGGTGAAATATGTGATGTTTGAAGTCTCACAATAGACTCTACATGGATATTTTTTAAAACACTCATCTAGATGAGGTGCTCTGAGCAGTTCTGAAAAAAATTGCAGGTCCTCAACTGCAGCTGCTTTGATTCCTAAGGAAGAGATTCTAAATAATGTAAACTTTCTTTCTTTTTTTTTTTTTTTGTAAGCATCTGGGGTTTTGATAATTCTGTCTACATACAACAAACTTGTGAGTACTTAACCACTATTTTACTAATTCTTTACACAAATGTGAGATATCATATTTGACTTTGCTTATGCAGGACATAAGTTCAAAAAAAAAAAAAAGGTAATTTCCCAAGCCACAAAGGCATAAAGTTGAAAACACTTGAAATCGAGACAACATGCCTTTATAGGAAAAAGACATGTATTCTATATGTGTATCAAGCAATCTGGTGGATCCTTGTTCTAATAAGTGAGGATTTTTACTTTTCTATGACATGTGTAACTCCATTAAAAATGTGTATGTGAACATTTTTTTTTCTTCATCTCCAGATTATGTTTATTGTCTGAGATGAATTAAATTCCCACCGAGGGTGGTGTCAGCATTTTAACACCTAATTGCTATTCTGGGTTCAGGGTTATATCCCACTACCATCCATCATACAGTCTATTCCCTAACCTGTCTTGGGATTCCAGCTTAGTGCTTACATTTTAATCCTGATTACACTACAGAGAAAGTGCGACACCTACCATACCCCAACTCTGGGAAAACCAACTAATATACAACCATACAAATGAAGCCATCTCCACAGTGTTGACACTAATTTTTATGATGCAAATTTGTAAACTGATTTTTGTAAAGGATGAGGTTTTAAAAATGTATTTGTTTTCTATCAGCATAAATTAAAATGGGTCACGAATGTTTTTAATGAAAACAGTCAACAGAGATAGCAAGCATGAAGGAAATACCCGTAAAATGGCTATGAAGTTGGAAGTGTTGTTTTTGAGATGTAGGAGATTTTTCAGAATGCTCACAGTGAAACATGCCTCAACTTTTCCAAGTATAAGAAACTACCTTGAGTGGTGTCTTAGATTTCTAATGAAGAAGGATGCTACTAGAAATACAGGTTTTTAGACATCTCCCATATGATCTTGTAATGTTACCTAAAATCCTATCTTATGAAATAAATATTCTGTTCCCCTGGTTTGTGAGGACCCAACACTCAAGACCCCCCTTCCCCCCTCCAGTGCAAATCTGAATGCAGCAGCAATGAAATGAATGAAACTGGGCAGTGGAGAATGTTACTTTCTTTTCTCTGTGGAGAGTAAACTTTTCAACACTGAACCCCAGAATGCTCTGTTGACAGCAACTCTGCACCACTGCCATCTACCCCAACAAAGGGCAGGGTCTGTATTTAAGCTTAGCTCAAGTCCAGGAAAGTCAGGCACAGGGGGTAGAAGCATGTGTTAGGCGTCCCCAGCACTGGAGGAAGGGATGGGGAGTAGGAAGCAGGGGCTATTAACCCAAAGCCACTTGATAGGTTTGTTTCTATTTAATTCATAATTAAGCAAATGTCTCCCAGGCAGGACTGAATGAGGGGGCAGTGGGAAGCTAGATGATGGATACAAGGAAACTTCTGGAAGTTACTTTACATCCCTACTCCATATATCTATTAAGCATTTACACATTTTCCTCGTTCATTACTCAGCCAATAAAACCTTTTAAATGGCCACTTAGTAAAACAAAATGGTGAAAAGATTTTCAGGTTTCATTTTGCTTGGCAGTAACGTTTGCAATTTTAGACACTCAGAAGTAGAAACAAGATTGGACTGTGGATAAACATACGATTTATTACCCTTCAAGCTGGTATTCTTTTTTTAGGAAGCTGATTGGCAGTAGTCTGTGATTGGAACGTAAAGACTTGTCTACCATAGTGGACATTTGGGTAGCTCCCAGTTTACAGTAAGGATGCTATTGTCACTCGTGTAAGTCTTTTGACTAACAAATACTTTTATGTAAATACCTAGTAGAATTCAAGTCACAAAGTTGATATGGACTAATTTTATAGGGAAACATGTAGTTATTGGCATTAACATCTGAAGGTTTGTCTTTGGTGAATATGTGTATTTGAGACAGGGTCTGGTTAGGTGTATCCTGGGCTGGCCTCACACTTGCAATCCTCCTGAGTAATGGGATTATAGTCATGCATCACACCCAACTTCTTAAAGCTTCTTCCCCACCCTTGTAGTTGTAGCATTCACTGCTGACCATTCCTTCTACGTTTTACATAGACAAGTTTGTCTTTAAGTTACATAAATGTCTTCTCATACCCGTGTTATTTACTTTTTTTGTGGTGATGGGGCTGGAATCAGATCTTGCATGCATGCTTGCATGTTTTACCACTATATACCCCTCGCCGATAATCTTATTACTAATAAAAATTACTGAACAGGATGAAGGAAAGGCTGTAACATCCATTTTGATGCTAGATACCAATTCCCAAGATGCCAAGATCAACATTTCTTAAGTGTAGCTGTATGTGAATTCACCTTAGAGTTCCCCATTGAAGCCACATTTTTCTGTTTTTCCTACAAAAAACAATGCTGGAGATTTAGGTACCTCTAGTTTTTTATACTCCATTATAAGAAGGCATTTCTTCCACATTCTTGATAACCATAGTGCTACTATAAATTAGAAATGCCAGCTTTTAGGGTTAAAGTCTATGAAGAGAAGAAATGTAAGTGGAAGAAAGGCAGCAGGAAGGAAATCAGAGGTAATCAGTGTGAGGTGAGAGCTGGTGTGCTGTGGGGATTAGGAGATGAGGTCACGAAACATAGGTTAGGAACCTGCATCTTAGTACTGAGGTCCAAAAGAGCTATAGATTATTCACTGTGGCACTAATTTGTAAACAATGAAAAAGTGGCAACAAACTGTCAGACAATGCATCAGTTAAGTGTGCTTTATTTACATAATAGTATACAAATATGAAAATACATCTACCAGCATGGACAACCCTCAAAAACAGATTAAGGCCACAGAAGGTAATATATACAGTGTAATTCATATAAAATGTTGAAACACAAGACAATACTTAACACTACAGATATACACACAACACTGAAAGTACAAAATCTACCAGGGGTTTTTCAGAAATGGTTGACTAGGTCTGAAAGAGGGTGAGAATCAAAGCTACATCAGGGAGTTTTGAAACAGTAAAATGCAAACAATCAATGGTGTAGAGCAAGAAATGGCAATCTCTTAACGACAGGGTCTAGCCCAGTCTGGCTTCAAGTCATGATCCTTTTGCCGTACCCCCCCTCAGTTGCTGGGTAGCCTCTCTGCAGTTCATTTTTATGAAATTAAAGAATAGGTATAAAAGCAGCGGTTGAAACCTGTAAGGAAGCCAGGCACCAGTGGCTCCAATAATCCAAGCTACTCAGGAGACTGAGCTCTGAAGATCATAGTTTGAAGTCTTCAGGGGCAAGAAAGTCCATGAGATTCTTATCTCCAATAAACTAGTCAAAAAAAGCTGGAAGTGGTGCCTATGGCTCAAATGGTAGAACCCTAGCCTTGAGGCAAAGAAACTCAAAGACAATGCCCAATGCTAGAGTTCAAACCTTAAGACTGGCAAAAAGAAAGGAAAGGAAGGGAGGAAGGAAAATCGTAAGAATAAGGTTGGTGAGAGACTAGGGCAATAGGAAGTAAGGATCAGTGATAGAATGCAGACTTGTAACACATTAAGAATGGCCATCTTGTACATTTAGACAAAAAAAATTTTTAAAGCTCTTCAGCTTAAGGCTAACACTACCACTTGAGCCACAGCGCCTCTTTGGGTTTTCTGGTGGTTTATTAGAAATAAGTCTCATGGACTTTGCTGCCCAGGCTGGCTTTGAACCTTGATCCTCAGATCGCAGCCTCCTGAGTAGCTAGGATTACAGGTCTGAACCTCCAGCGCCCACGGCTTTTGATCCTTTTAGTGATTTGAAGTTTAAAAGGGTATATATAAGTATACATGTTAAAATTTCTAAATTAATTCTCATTGGCTGATTAAAAATAGTCCTTAATATTCACACATCTAAGATGTCTGACTAAAGAGCTTTTCTAAAAGTCTGTAACTTGTGATTTTGCCAAGCAATCATTGAACAACATACACTTAGGGCTCATAACCAGTCACTTATCAGTCACTGAACCTAAATAACCAGTGATTCTCTAATCATGATCCTACAAATGTATTATCTGAAAACTTACATGCAACAGTGGTGCTAGGCTTGGTGGCACATGCCTGAAATCCCCACCTAGGAGGCTGACACAGGACAATTTTAAGTTTGAGGCTAGCCTGGACTACACAGCAATATCTTGGACAAAAAAAAACCAAGATAAAACAAACCCAATAGCGGCACATAAGGGATCCACAAAACTTTACCTGGGAGTACCATGGATTTTTTTTTTCTATTCAAAAATTACATAAGGAGTTTCAAAAGATTCTCATCTTACAAAGTTCTTTACTATAGTATACTTATCAGCCTATGCCTTTAGGAAAAAATAGGCAGATGAATGTAATTTTGTAAAACACAGCTGTTTT